CCCATAACTGCAGGCCTCGGTGAGCTTCATTTGACTGGAGCCGAAAGCTATGGGTGATGTCACACTCTCCTAGTCCACTTCTTCATGTTGTCTATGGTATACTATAATTAAAACTACTAAACATACTGAAAAAGAGCTGATTAAAAATAAAATAAACAGTATTTGCGGTCAATTTTGTGGTCCACTTACTCAGCTGACTCAACCAAGACACTTTAGCTTTATTTTATTTAACATATTCAAAATACATACAAAATTGTCATAATAATAATAAAAGATAATGCAAAACGATTTTAAGATCTACATTTCTGTCGATATCTCCTAGCTTTTAAAACAGACAAGGACAGTGACATTACAAAAACAACATTTATATTTAAAAGTTTTTTAAAGACAGCCACACCAGTGTCTCCACATATTGGACTGATATCTTATTGCACTGAATTTCATATTTGTGAGTGACATTATTATTTCATTGTCTGATTTATTCAGTCTGCAGATAAAACTGTACATCAAAATTCTAAGGGCAGCTTGCAAAGTGTTCATTTGTGCAGTAACAAACCTCTCCTTCACACTGGTCCATCGTGGCCTCCTCAAAAGCACCACAAACCGTCATTGTAAGCCACCTGCAATTTTTGCAAACTGGCTTTTTATAATTAATCCAGAGGTGATCATCTGTCATGATCGCGGTGATAATATGCCCCAGATATTAGATTTTTGTTGTAACGGACAACACAACATTTGACAGGCAAAAATCAGGAAATCTCATGTGCTTATCTTCTTTGGTCCTTCAGATCATGACCACACTCTTAGTTGCATTATACTTTATATCATGTATATCATCACCACCCCAGAAGCTGAGCAGATGTTGAGTAGCTGCTGGAGACCAGCGGTATCCTGATTCATCAGCCGATTTCAATTCGTTTCACTTCGTAGAAACCGTCTAACCTTGCAGTGTTAGGATTTGTTCACTCGACAGTAGGCAGGTACTTTTTATCATTTAACCAATCGCTGCTATCTGGTAGTCACCTATGTAATGCACAGCTAACAGGGCTAACTGGTATATGAAGCTTTTCCCAAATCCTGTATTAAGAAGGACAATAACATCTTTCTCCGTGATAAAATTCACCAAACATTCTCTTTGTTCTGGCTTTAAATCCTCAATCTCGAATCGTTTACGACACTGAATATATGGCTCTTTGCTCACTGGCTGATGCCAGAACTTGCACTTCCGGGGTTTTTGTGAACTGTCTAGTGTATTCTGATTCCTGACCTAGTTGCTGGAGAGAAATGAAATTGAGTGGAGGCACTAGGTGGTGCCAGTCTGGCTAGACCAGCAGAGCTTGGACTAAAAACAACTAGGACATCTGCATACATTAAATGATTCACAGGATTTCCAGCTACAAAACCAGTTTTACATGTTTTAAGCTTTGCTGACAATTCATCTAAGTACAAATTAAATAAAACTGAGAACAGAATCTGACCCCATTGCTGACCCTAAATTGGGCAGACACACCTTTTCCCCACTGTGTGTTGTTCTGACACCGCAATTTTGTTCAGTTTTACAATTTATTTCTGATTGGACCTTCTTCATCTGCTTTTTCTTTAGGTGGTAGGTATTATTATCTACATGAGTCCATCCCAGCTGAACAAAGAAAAGAGAAGCTGAGCCAAAGAGACACAGGACAGAAGATACGAGTCAAACCTACATATTCTCTAGCAGGTAGTACTTCTGGGATTGTCAAGGAAATCAATATTCAGATACTAAAAACAAGTATCAATCAAGTTATGATGCAAAATAAATTACTTTCAAAATTGGACATATAGGACAATGGTCATAATCTGTATACGAACTTGTACAAGACCATATAATACCATTAGGGAAAGTATTTTTATTTTGTGTTCAGTTAAAATTTTGTATTAGAGTAGTATAATTACCACTCTCCATTTCTTTAAATATCATAAATGAATATTTCTTCTCTCTAATTTCTAATTTTAAATTTAATTCACTTATTGACAAAATACTATACATACTCTACTAACTTGTGGACGGACCCCTATATTCTGTAGAAATTGTGCATTTTTTATGTCTGGCACCAGGGGGCAGCACACACTCTACAAAGTGTCCACCAGTTTTGCCTAGTTTCTAAAGCCATTATTAAGAGTTTCTGAAGCTTTTACAATACTACCTGTCAGATTTCAATAAAAATGTAATTGGTTCAAGTACAAATGAAATATTACTAACCCTAAGTGATGTTTAGATTACTTAATAAAAACTACTGCTTTACCATATTCGAATGAAACATAGCAGTGTTTTATCAGGCCAACTTTGCAATTTAAGGTGCACTATGTAAACTTTCTGGCAGGGGGCTTGCTACCTACTTGTCTCCATGGAGATATTATGACTTTGACTGGAGTACATACAGTATGGCATTAAACTTATCTTACATTTATTCAATTCAATACATGCCTTGGGAAACAGAGTCTCTATAGAGTTAGACAAGTTTAATGATACACTATGGAACAAGAAGTGCCCACTTCAGCAGAAAAGTGACACAGTGCACTTTTAAATACATTCAATTATGTCAGTCTAAATACAGTACAAAGACGCATTAACATTTGAGAGTACAGATATGTATTTACTGCTAATATAAGATACACAAACATTTTAGTTTTAGAAATTTAACAGTTTAGAAGTTTAAACAAACATTACAAAGCACCTAAAATTACATTGAGAGTAAAATAAACTACTTTTAGGCTTTTTGGAAGACTTTACAGTAGACTTTATATCACTTGAGTTTATTTTTAAATCTGATTGGACAAAAGTGGCATTAATCTTTTTCTCTTGGTATTTTAATGTTATTATTAAAACCTCTTCTAAACGACAAAAAATAGTGTAGATCAGTGTCTCGCAAACCTTTCTCTGAGTCAACATTGGGGCTAAACTTAAAATCTAAAAACATTGCCATCTTATAGGCTATTAAACAGGAACTAATTCAAATGAGGACAAAATACAACATTACATTAACAATTAAAGGAGACATATTATGTATTTTAAAGGGCTCATTAACAGACATAATACAGAACAATAAAGGGTCACTCAAGTACGCAAAATACAACTGTGAGTAACTAGTTATAAGACAGCAACTTCATGACAAGACTAAAAGCTCATTGTAGATTTTACATAATAGTTGGTTTTACATATGAAAGGTGCACCGTGTAACTTTTCTGGTGGAGTGTCCTTCATCTATTTATCTTCTATTTAGATGTTATAGCTTTTTCTAGAATGTTCCATTGCAGAGATTAAACATAGCCTATATTTATCTCAAGGGATATAAATAGGGATATACAATTCAGGTCTGTGGAGATACACAGAAAAAAATGATTGTATGTTTGAGCAATAGAAACTGTATAAATCTGTATAAATAAATGCTACAGATGTGCTTAATGTTATACCATGGAACATTCTAGGCAAATCAATAACATTTCCATGGGGACAAGCAGGTGATGGGTCCTCTACTAGTAAAGTTGTGCACCTTTAAATTCACTTTAAACAAACCAAATAGGGTTTATAGGCCAAAAGAAAACAGTAAAATGTCATGTTAACAAGACAACAACAACAACAACAACAACAACAACAACAACAACAAATTTAAGATGACTCCAATTAAACTATACTCTATGATTCTGACGTCAGCAGTATCCATATTATGAGCTATTTAAGTCAATCAAAATGTTCCTTAACTGCTTTGATAATGACTGTGATTATGAAAAACAAGGCACCAGGAAGTTAACCTGGCTGACGTCAGATTGATGTGTGTATCACTCTGATTTGTGACCTCACAAATATCATGAGAATCCATCTTGCTGGGCAAGTTTACCAGGAAGTACCCAATATGTAAATGTGGATTTTGATCAGAAGACAGTAAAGTTTACATCTTAAACAGTGATATCTGACTCTTGTATTCACATTCTAAAGAAATGTTGAATTTATTTGATTGTTTGGAAGATAAGCCCCTTGAGATGTCTGGCCATCTCAACTCAACTATACTAGAAAGTACTTTGGACTAATCTAGGTCTAAACCAAACTAAGTAGTTCTGAATTGGGAGTTAACCAAGATGATGTAAACATGTCTAAATCTGAAGTAAACCAGGTCCAAACCAAAAGGACACCATAACCAGGAACAGACCAGCACCAGGAACCAGGACTTAAACTGGTTTAAACCTCTTAACATTCTGAGAGACCATGCATACTTTTTCTGAATTCATTTTTGTTTATCTACCTTTTGGACTATTGATTTTATGGACGAGGTTTTAAACCAAGGTCTCAACTAGGATTTATATGAAGCTACATGAAGGTGTAAACATGTCTTAATCTGAACTAAACTAAACCAAAAGGATATGATAGGACTAAACCAGAACCAGACCAGAACTGAACCAGAACTAAAACTGGTTTAAACCAAGGTCTGAATTAGGACTAAATTATGTCAAGCAATTTTAAAGATTGGATTAAGTTATATTTTATTGTTCTTGTAGTGAACAGAGTTTCACAGAGGTTCGTGACTTAGTACATAGCTGGAGTATAAAAATAACCAAAAAATACCAAGGTCTAAACCAGCCCCAAGAACTTAACTCTGTGCGGTAACTATTGTCCACAGCTGAATCTCTATGTAATTACACTTATTAGTAATAAAAGTCGACCAGCAAGTTACTTAATCTGTAACTATATGAGTCATCCATGATTCCTGTACAAATGTAGAGGCAGTTCTGTTGTCTTTGAAAATAAATATATTAAAATATGATCAACAAAAATTCTACTCTACAAAGAGGTGGTCCATAAATACAATGAATAACTATATTATATGGTTGTTTTTTATTGTTAATATATCTGGAGTCGCTGGTTTCACCGCTCACCTGTTGTAGTATAATCTGGGTGGAGTTTTACTCAGTTCAGTCTCAGAACAATTCACCACAATTATTATGTGAACAGAACACAGAGCGTCAACATGGACGAGAAGAGAGCGGTGCCCAAGTGAGTAAATATGCCATTTTTAAACTTGAAAAGAAGACTATTTAATGTATCTAGAATCATGTAGTTTCATTTCTTTGCGTGTTTATGTGTATATTGGAGTGTCAAGATTACAGTCGACCACTTCTGAAATATACTAGTATGTCTGTACTCAAGGGTCAGCTCGTCTCCCTTAAAAAAAAAAACTTTACACTTTAAATGTCAAAAATGTGTTTAAAGGCATATCTTTAAAACTATATTAGCAGTACTGTCTATTTACAAACATTTGAATTCACTTAAGTTATTAAAAAGTAAAAATCTTAAATGTGTAATTCATGATAATTTATCTTTCAATACAACTATATCATGTATGAATCATTTAATATCACTGTGTAATCAAATAAAATGACCTAAAATGTTCATATACATAAATATATCCGCATATCCATGATTTACCATATTTACCATGCTAACAACTGCATCTTAACTGCTCCAAGGTGTATGTATGTTCAGTATGTATGTACAGTATGTGTGCATGTTGTAATGCTGCTGAACTTCTGGCTTAATTGTGTTATTGTTTTATTTTTCAGGAGGCTATGGGACACGTTTCAGGAAATCCCCACCATCAAAGATGAGCAGACTCCATGGAAATTCATCCAGCTGGTCCGGGTCTTCTCCATGTGTGTGGTGGCCGTGGTGGTGTTTGGCCTGGCTTTGTGCAGTAAGGTAATGGCTCTGATCAAATAAATGAAGTACGTATTCATTACTGTGATTCATGAGAATAATAACAGAGTAATAATCTCTTGTGTCAGACGTCGTTCCTGCTCCTGATCACCATGTCGAGTGAGGGCACAAAGGTGATCCCAGAGGAGCAGAAGCCAGTGTCTCTGCTGTGCATCGGCTGTGCTCTCATCACCTCCAGTGTGCTCCTCTTCCTCAAGAGCGTCTGGAAGGCCTGCTACAAAACCTCCAAGTTCCCCCGTGTTGCCACAGTTGCCCTGGTGAGTAGGACCATTATTTACTGAATGATAGTTTCTATATAAACATGCTGTGCCTCAGTGAGTGAATATTCATGTCCTGTTCCAGGTGTTCTTCTTTGAGTTTGTGGCCTCTGCAGGAGCAGCTATCCTCACCATAGTGGCTATGCCACATTTGGACATTGTGACCAATGTGACCATCTTGAACGGAGCAGCGTTTCTGTCTGCACTGCTGCAGATGGTGGCTCAGTGCACTGCCAAAGGGAGGAGGCGCTTCCTGGTGCCCTCCATCACCGGCCTCCTCCTCATCTTGCTGGGCTACGGCCTCTTCGTGGCTCTGTACATCATGAAGGACACCAGGGACTTAAACATGGCCATGTGGGTGGGGCTGGCAGTGGGAGCCTCTCTGTTGGTGTCTTTTAACTGGTGGGAAAACTACTTTGGACTGATTAGTGAGCATAGCAACTCCTTAAAGGTCAGAGTTTTGTATTATGACATGAAGAGATGTCAGAACATTCTCAACATGTTCTCCAGCCTGCTCCGGATCGCTGTGACCGCCTTAATACTGGGAGCCTATGTCCCTCTGTCCAGAATGGACTGGGATGTGGTCAGGTCCATCCCGGCACCACAGACCCGGGTCATAGCCATCACGGTGGGGGTGCAGCTGGTGTCCTCTGCTCTGTGCCACTGGTTCTCCCTGGCAGCGTGTAAAATGCATGCCATGCGGCGCTGCTTCATCCTGCCTCTGTACCTGGCCTCTCTGTCTGTCATGGCCCTGCTGGTGATCCCTGTGATCGTCTATTATCAGGACTACAGGCTCAACCTAAACGGCGCCACCACCAACTTCACTCACTATTGTAATGTGGTGGTGAGTGGTCGAGATGGTAACCTGAGCTCCAGTGTGTTCCCTGAGCTGGTCTATGACGTCACCCACACACTCTGCTTCCTGGACATGTCTAAGATCAGTGACATCGGCATCCTCACCGGTAATAAGCGCTTAAACTCTTATTTTATTACTATGGTCACTGAACTCAGATGAATGTGACTACAGTGGTACAAAGTGCTCTCTTAAAGCTGCACAGTTCTGTCCCTGAGTGTGTGTGCTTCTCCTCAGGCTCTGCTGTGTCGTGGTGGCTCGGCCTGGTGCTCTGTACCATCCACCTGTGGCACCTGAGTCTGTACCGCATCCAGAGGACTCAGGACCTGTTTGTGCGGAGGATGTACGAAGGGGGCTTCATAGAGCAGTCTCTGCTGCTCAACACACGCTTTGAGGTCAAGATGAGCCCGAGAATTAAACAGTGAGTGCATATTATCTCAGCACTGTCAGAAATCTTCGACTTCTTGTAGTGCTGTATTCAGTCAGTGAAGACCTGAACTATAATTACATTACTTAACAATGGTTGTACAATGGTCATGTGTGGCTCCTGTCATTCACAGATTCACTTCTCTGGAACCAGTGAAGCTGTTTCTCTGTGCAACAATGTGGCATGAGACCTATGATGAGATGATGAAGATTATAATCTCAATATTTCGGTCAGTCACATTTAAAATGTCTTTATTTTCAGTATGGTCAGGTATAAGTTTGGTTCACCTCCTGTTTTCAAACTCCTTAGACTTGATCAGTTCCGTCCGAAAAGAGACGAAGAAAAAGTGGACTTGAGTTTTGAGGCTCATGTTTATTTTGATGATGCTTTTGTGGATGTTCCTGGAAGTCAGGGTCGCCACGTCAACGAATACGCAGAAGTACTGGTCAACATCATCCGAGAAGTCTATGGGTAAGAATGATATATTTCTATTCTTCAAATGACGTCATGATATCCTTTTGTCCTAAAGTGTTAAAATGAGGGGCCAAAAGAATGTGTATTATCAGTAAACAGATTTTTGATGTGGCCCATTACTATAGCTGTGAGTCATTGATGTACGCAAAGGGAATTGAAATGCCTACAGTGCTTTTTAATTTCAACCTTAATGTTATGGATTGAAAGTAAGGCAGCACAATAAATTAGATTTAAATTTTGATTAAAATCTATTACAACATTTGTAATAAGGAAACTGCCACTCAAAGCCTTCAGCAAACCCAATATAATCTGATTCACAAAAGATTACTTATAATTGACAAATATAAAATTATTATTATATAATTAAAATCCAAATGAATGTTTACATTATTATTTATTATTTATATATATATATATATATATATATATATATATATATATATATATATATATATTTATATATATATATATATATATATATATATATATAATTTGAGCAGCACCAGTTGAAGGGTTATAGATTCTAGATCGTCGACATTTCTTAAAGGTTCACTATGTAACTTTTCTGTCCATGGAGATGGAGTTATATCATTGATGCAAGATACAGTTTGGCATTATATCTTGCATTTATTTACTTTTATAGCTAAAAATATACTTGTTTCCATGGAGATAGGTAAGTTTAATGCCATTCTGTGTGATATTCCTGCAAAACAATAACACCACCATGGGTCACGCAGTTGGCAAACCATCTACCAGAAAATTATATATAAACTAAACTAAACTAAACTAAAGTATACATTTCAAATCAATTTTAACTTTTTTTTTCTCATAGTATCTTCATGAATATGGACAAAGACATCTTCAACAGAACACAGCAGGTCCCAAGTCAGAAGGTCATCCAGACACCGTATGGGGGGAGATTGGTGGTGACGATGCCTCGTGGAAACAACATTATAATTCATTTTAAAGACAAAAAACTCATTCGACACAAAAAGCGCTGGTCTCAGGTCAGCTTCAAGTCCCTCTTTGAGTTTGTGCTATAGTTTCTTCAAATTGTATATGACAATTCTTTTGTTTTCAGGTGATGTACATGTACTACCTTCTGGGCTGGAAGGTTGCAACCAAATATTATAAGAGGTTAAAGAAAGGAGAGTATGAAGAGGAGCTGAAAAGAGAATTTGAGGTGAGAAGAAACAATAATAATAATAATAATAATAATAATAATAAAACACACACATTTCTAATTTTGTAAGATAAAAACTCCACTATGTAACGTTTCTGATGGAAGGTCTACTTGCTTATGTGTGGATTGTTCCAAAGTATGGCATTAAACATTTCTATCTTACAAGTATTTAATTATGACTATTTTTATGATTCAAAAATACCTTTAAAACCTACATTCTTTTTGTGTGCGATCTGACTTGAAACTTGGTCAGCTGCTTGTCAAGATAGATAGGTTTAATGCCATACTGTGGAACCTTCCAGACAAAACCATGGAGACAAACAGGTGGTGGACATTATTTGTAAACTGTAGTGTTCATACTTGTGTAGCAGTTTGAAAAATAAAATAATAGTTACAACATTGCAACATTATGGCCTTGTGCATGTTGACCTTACACAGAAAGAGAAGCGCAACACGTACGTCCTGGCCTTAGATGGAGACACGGACTTCCACCCAACTTCAGTTATGCTCCTCGTGGATCGGCTCAAACTTTATTCGAACGTGGGAGCAGTGTGTGGCAGGATTCACCCCACTGGATCAGGTTTGTCTAGAATACTATAATTACACACTGTTACCTCATCAAAAACATACTTGGAATTGTGTTTTGCTTCATTCACACATGCTTAAGTAACCCTTTGTTATTAGTCTGTCTACATCTCAGAAGTTCAAAATGCTCTGTTCTACCTTGTGATGTCATGTTGCAGTAGTTTTCAAGTTAACAGCTCCTTTTATCTTTATGTGTAGTTCAGTAGAGATGAAATGATCCAAATGATTCTAGTGAAGATTTCTGGAACACAAAAGGAGCACTTCCTGTATTACCACATAGCATCATAAGGTGGAACAACGTATTTTCTGTCTCAGAGAAGAGCTAAGCCTAAATAAGCAGGATATGTGGGTTAAACGCGTGAATGAAACAAAACACAGCTCCAGGTATGTCTGTGATGAGGAAACAACATTATAACCAAACTAACACCAAACTAGTCCAAGTTTCAAGTGAAATACTAAACTGATTTTTCCAAAGACTATGTGAGATTGTTATAGTTTACGACAATACAAAGCAATAAGATCACCATGGAAACAAGCAGATAAGTACCACAGTGCATCTTCAAGGCAACTTTACACAACTTTTCACACTCCCCACTGATCCATAGGTATTAGACTTAGGCAAACTTTACAGATCCATCACATAGTTTTACTCCCGTCTTGCTCAGGGCCTATGGTGTGGTATCAGAAGTTTGAGTACGGCGTGGGGCACTGGCTGCAGAAGACAGCAGAGCACGTGTTTGGGTCAATCCTGTGCAGTCCGGGATGCTTCAGTCTCTTCAGAGCTACAGCCATTATGGACGACAACGTGATGAAGAAGTACACCGTCAAAGCGACAAAGGCCAGCCACCACCTGCAGTACGACCAAGGTAATAGGACACAATATAACGCATGTAGAGGAATGTTAAAATAAGAAGGGTGTAGTTACTTTACTTGATAGTTTTAAGAGTAGTTTTGTTGCACTTGACTTTTTTTTTTCTTTACCACGATGTGTAACATTTTTGCATTTTCAAGTGCCGGTTCTTTCACTTGGGGACAGTTTTTATTGACTCCTCTGGATTGCTTTCTTTTTGTTTGTTTTAATAGCTTTACTATCATATGCCTTATTGATTAAATCTGGAAGTTCATGTCTTTTTATAGTCTACTCCAATGTCTCTCTTTATGTTCGTAAAGGGGAGGACCGCTGGCTGTGCACTCTGATGATGAAGCAGGGCTGGAGAGTGGAGTACAGTGCAGCTGCAGATGCCTACACCAATGCACCAACGGAGTTTAAGGAGTTTTATAACCAGGTGCTTAATCTTTCTAACAACTCATGTTTATTTAAGTGATAATTAGAAACATTAGATCTTTTTCTGTTTACATGCACACTAAAAGCTGATTTCTGTAGGTTTACGATTATTTAAATGACATAAAAACAGCAAAATCTGATGTGATCAAATATTGACCGTGCATGTAAAAACAGCCACTGATTGTGAACTTTTCTGAGCTATAGAAATCAAAATTTTTTAAGAAATAATACAACTCATTCTACTGCTACATTACATGCATTCATTTTGCATTTCTTGCCATGTCCAGCGCCGTCGTTGGGGCCCTTCCACATTTGTGAACAGTGTGGACCTTTTGGGAGATGCCACGTTGATCATCCACAGGAACCACTCCATCTCCAGACCTTACATATTGTATCAGCTGATCAGCCTGATCACCTCCATTCTGTCGCCCTCCTCTGTCATACTCATGATCACAGGTAGGGCGGTGACATATATGTACTTTGGATAATTATAATCAGAGGGTATTTTTGCATTGGCTTTTTCATTTTTAACTGGGTTTCAGTTGACATTCTATTGGCTGATATTATTTAAAGATGCTTTATGTAACTTTGGTGGTGGAGGATCTGCTACCTTCTCGTCTCCATGGAGATGTTATTACTTTGCCTGAATTGTTCCACAGTATGGCATAAAAATTTTGCATTTATTTCACTGTGTGGGCGCTGTCTGCTTGTTCCCATGGAGATAGATTTTAATGCCATACTGTCTAATATTCTTGACACAACAATAATGTTTAAACATCTCCATGGACAGAAGCTAGCAGTTACAGAGTGCAAGCCTAATGCAGATTTGAAATATTGTACTCTGTTTTTTTGTTTTGTTTTGATGTTTTTCTTGTTGTGGACCATGTAGGCTGCAAATATTCAAACTCTAATCTTGATATTATTTTGGGGACAATATATCACACATGGATTTTTATAATTAATTTACCATGCATTTACTGAGCTCTGAAAAATAGTTAAAATGAAAAGTAATTTGAGTGGTAGATGTACTCTCTGGAATCTGAAAAAGAGATTTAAATGGCTGGAAGTTACTGTTTGATAAAACTGGTTGTGCACTCGCATGACACAAGAAACAACACTGCTGAAAGGACTTTATTTTAAGTATCATGTCTTGCTCAAGGAACAAAAGATCTTCATTTCCCAGTACAATAGGTACTAATTAAAACACATTTACCGCTACTATTATAATGTGCACTATCACTCTGCTCTGGCTGCAACTACTGGAATACACTTTAGAGGTTATGTAAGAGATTATTAACATGCCATAGCAGTGATATCCATGGGTTTCAGATTACTTTTACATTTTCCTCTTTTCAAATTATATAATATTTTACTTTGAATTATTATATCCTTATTTATCATAATTTCAAACCCCATACTGGATTTAGCGTAACTTTCATATTATTGTAACTCAACATTTCAATACTTGCATTTGTCTGTTACTACAGTCTGTAAACAGTAATATTGAGACAAAGTGTTTAGATGCATTTTAGATGCAAAGAGGTCAGTACCTCAGTACAGTTATCATGTTATATTTGTTTTCTTTTCAGGTTGTTGGAACTTGCTTCTGGACATTGATCAAAACAGCGCTCTGATCTTGTCCATCATTCCCCCACTTCTGTTTCTCATCGTGAGCTACAAAGTAAAGGCAGACACACAGGTCACCATTGCGGCGGTGATGTCCTGTTTATACGCCATCGTCATGATGATCACATTTATGACTATCATAGGTGAGGAACATTTATTACAAAATCAAAGCCAGACAAACATATTTCAGTAATGTACAATACTGATATAGGAGAAAAATATATAAATTCTAATGTTTTTAAGAGTAACAACATATTTCTCTGTAATAAACATCACAATATTGGAAGTGGCAAAAAACTATAGTGAGAAAACATGACAGTTAAATATGGAGTATAATACAAAAATGCTAGTTTTGTCTTGTTAAGGGGCAAACTACTGGCTCATGCCATTTGATAGAATGAGCTGAAGATTTAGTTTTATTGACATTATACTGCACCTTTCTATGTTGATGAAATGTACTTCTGTATCGTAATTCAAGCTGAAAGTGATCTTAAAGTAACACCGTGTAACTTTCTAGAGACAGCATGATTACACTGAAATAGAAAGTTAAAACCATACTTCATAATGTTCTCCATAGAGATAAATATGTTTTATGTCATAATGTTGAACATTGCCAAAAGAACATTTTTCTTTTATGCCAAAAAAAAAAAAAAAAAAAAAAAAAGATTTGTCGAGACTGCATAATAAAAACATCCAAATTCTCATTTTTTTTGTCTAAAAAGTTACACGGTGGGGCTTTAAACTATGATCTAGAGTGTAGCCTGTTTGTTTGTTGACACTTCCTTCATTGAAGTGCAAAGTTACTGATATTTGTTTTATATTTCAGGAAACATGGTTGAAGATAAGAGCATCATGACTCCCAGCAGCCTCTTCATCATCTCACTGATGGTGTTTTATGTGCTCACGGCTCTTCTTCACCCTCAGGAGGCGGGCTTGGTCCTATACGGCCTCCTCTACCTCCTGTGCATCCCCAGTGCGTATCTGCTGCTCAGTATCTACTCTATGGTCAACATGAACAGTGTGTCCTGGGGAACGAGAGAGACAGCCCCCCCACCAGGTGCCCAGCCTGCAGCCTCCGGCCCTGCTCTGAGCCCACTGAAGAAAGGTGAGATTTAGTTCTGCCACTCACATGTTTTACACTAAAATCTCAATTATGAAGCATGTCAAGATTATTTGGTTAATCAATAATCAAGATTGTACAGGTCGCAATATAACAGACCATTGTCAAAAAAATCTAATCTCAGTTCAGATGTTTGAATTACAAATGTTTTCGCTTGACTGAAGTAGATTAGACTTGACTAGACTTGAATGAAAATTATTCATCAATCCGTCAAGACATTTTGCACTTGTACGTTTTTTTAGACTGTAGGTCAAACCGCTACAAACATATTCTGAAGTGCGTGGGATTCTTGTATTGTTTGCCAGTTCATATTTCAGTCTCTCAGATGTTAATGGTCCTTAAGGTTTAAAATATGCACTTTCCAAAACACCACAGCCCTAAACCTTTTCCATTACCTTATAACCTGTATTCACTGAACTTAGTGTACATTTCAATCATGATTTAAATTGACTTTATTGGTGAATTTGCTCGTGTTTGCAGCCCTGAACAGCATTAAGCAGTTCTGCAGCAGAGGGGTGTGCTGTCGGAAGTGCAGGAGGGACAGCGCAGATGATCTGGTGATGAGAGAACAGAATCCAGAGTCTCATTCCCTAGACCAAGAGGATCCAGAAGACCCACAACTACTGCCCCAGAACACAATCGTGGATGGTGTGGCCCCTATTCAAGCCGAACCAGACCAGTATGTGTAACTCCACTAACACATTATAGATAAAGATTTGTCTATTGATGCTTGATGTGATGCTTCCTGGATGCACTGCTCTGTTTGAAGCTCTGTTACTCAAGTTAGTCTTTAATCTGGTCTTTAATTTAATACAATCTGACAAGACAGAGCTGGAACTACAACTGGTGATCTGATTTGTGCTGTTAACGTCCCTCTCAAATAATATTACAATTTCACAAGCGAGCTAATATTATCCAACATTTTCAGTTACTCTCTCCTTTTTGTTGACAATCAAACACTTAAACAGGACCATGCATACTCATATTGATCACAGGCTCCTGAAAATGTGTTGCTTAAATCCATTTTGAGTTTTCAGACGATATAAAAACTTTTTTTTAGCAGTGTTTCCTAATAATCCATTCATTCATTTGTTTTTCAATGTAAAACCAAAAATAAGAAAATGAAAAAACAACTATTATCTTCATTATTTCTTTCCAAAACCAAGAAGAAAGAAAAAAAAAAAGGATAACTATTCGTTTTTTCAGTTTTCGATTTTGTGTTTAAATGAATAATGGATTAAACAGATAATGACCGTTTCCTGTTTTCATGACTTAAACTGCAATGACGGACTTTTGCACCGCATACGGATTGAACCAGGACTAAAACAGAACTGAACCAGGACTAAAACAGATCTGGGACTAGACCGGAACCAGACCGGGACTTAGACCAGGACTAAGACCGGAACCAGGACCAGGGCTAAGACCGGGACTGAGACCGGGACTGAAACCGGGAACAAGACCAGGAGTGAGACCGGGACCAGACCGGGATTGAGACCAGGACTTAGACTGGGACCAGGACCAGAACTGAGACCGGGACTGAGGCCGGGACCAGACCTGGACCAGACCGGGACCAGACCGGGACCAGACTGGGACCATACTGGGACCGTGACCAGGACCAGCCCGGGACCAGACCGGGACCATACTGGGACCATACTGGGACCATGCTGGGACTGAGACTGGGACCAGAATGGGACCAGACTGGGACCAGCCCGGGACCAGACCGGGACCATACTGGGACCATGCTGGGACTGAGACTGGGACCAGAACTGGACCAGACTGGGACCAGACTGGGACCAGACTGGGACCAGACTGGGACCATATCGGGACCAGCCTGAGACCAGACCAGGACTGAGACCAGGACTGAGACTGGGACCAGACCAGGACTGAAAACAGTTTAGTCCTGGTTTAGTCTTGTTTTAGTCCTGGTTTAATCCTGGTTCAGTCCGTATGCGGCGCAAAAGTCCGGCATCGCAGTTTCAGTCAAGAGAACTGGAAACGGCTGTTATCCGTTTTTTTCTGAAATATAAATGTCATCTGCTTGTTTAAATAGAGATACTTAAGTGTAATGCCATACTGTGGAACATTCCAGGCGTTTCAATAACATCTGTATACCCCGAAAAGTTGTAGAGCAGCTTTAAAATATAGTGTCTTTTTTAGGTATCCAGAACCTGTCCCTTACTATCCTATCCAAAGTAAGTCACCACCTGAATAAAACCATCACCTAAAATATATTGTATTTAACTTTCTTTATAATCTCTCCTTTTCCTCTTTTTCTTCAGGTTGGATCACTCAGGTACAGGGTTTGTCCGATGATATGCATTTAGTAGAAGACTCTCTTGACACGGTAAGGATGTTGATTATTGCGTAAGGCAGTATTGCAGTATTTTTATCAGTCCTATTTGAATCCCGTGAGTTCAAATAAGGTTTTTCTGTATATCAATTCTGGTGTTACTGTTGCAGGAGGAGGAGCAGTTTTTCCAAGAGCTGATTGTTCGTTATTTGGAGCCTATACATCTTGACAAAAAGAAACAAGAAGAGATGAAGGAAGGTCTGCTGAGTCTTAGGAATAAGGTACAACAAATGCAAAGACAAAGAAATGACTCTGACCTTTTGACATAAACCGTTTTGACCAATTAAATCATGTTTTTACTATTGCATCAAAAAACAGTGATGGTAAATGATTAGTATTTTGAATTTGTGAACGTTTTCCACTGTAACACAGGAAGGAACTTTTATGTTTGCTTCCATTTAGGAGTAGACCAAAATGAATATCTTATACAGAGCTAAAAACATGCATGTCTTGTCTTGTTTTATGCATCGCACAAAAAGTGAATGGACTGCAAATTTTAACATATTCATGCAAAATTATCCAACATTTTGAAAGTTAGCACTGCAAGTTGAGATGGTTTGTTATTAAAATAGAAAATTAAAAATAAAAATGGTAAAAATAAGCAAAATAAAACAAACAAACCAAAAAAAAAAAAAAACTAATCAAAACATTTTTAGGACATATGTTATGAGGTTCTTTTTTCAGACCAAGAGTTTGTTTTCATACCTGACAGTTTTTACAGTTTAGACACTAGTGAGCAGTTGAAACTGTCAAGTATGAAAACAAACTCTTGGTTTGAAAAAAGAACCTAATAATATAAATTATTGGCAGACCAAATTAACCTCATTGGACTATTTTTAGGACATGTTTTTACTCATTTCTGTTCAAAAACATCGAGATACACATTTTTGTCAACAACAATTCAGTATTTTGCGTACAGTCTCCATTTTATTGTACATTCACACTTTTCTAAAACAAAACCCCTTACTTTTCCATTGTTTTTGCAGGCTAACTTTGTATACTTCATGATCAACGCGATGTGGCTGACGATCACATTTGCGCTGCAGTACAGGAGTGACCTTGTGGGCGTCAAAATCCCCGTGATGGACATATACTTCCAAGAGACGGGACAGTACCTCTTCATCGAGCCTGTCGGAGTCATGTTCATTATGGCCTTCGCTCTGCTCGTCCTCATTCAGTTTATAGCCATGCTCTGGCACAGGTAAGTATGGATGGAATCTTAAACATTCTCACTATATGCTATTTTAATAAAGGTCCTGTATTACACAAACTGACTCTTGTGAGCTTTGAGCCAAGTTAAAATGCTGTTGCCTCATCAGAAACATAGCTGGAGTTGTTTCATTCACACATATTTGAATAATGCGGCGTCATTAACTCCAAAGCTCAAAATGCTCTGTTCCACCTTGTGATGTCATGTAGTGGTACTTTTCAAGAGCTTTCAAGAGTGCAGTGGTAGTTTTTTAACAGCTGCCAGGGCTGAAATGATCCAAATGCATAGTGGAGAACTTCTGCATTTATTTACCACATGACATCACACGATGGAATGGAGTGTTTCATCTTAAATATGCAGGGTTTGAGTGAAACAAAACACAATTCCAGGTGTGTTTTTGAAAAGGAAACAACACTATAACATAGATCAGAAAACAGTGTAACATGGGCCCTTTAACCTTGACATATTAATCCAAACACTTAAAATTCTGTGTAGTTTTTGTATCCTATTTTGTATAATTTCTCATTTAAAACTACACTGGGAAGAATGCAGTCCACTTTTAGACCTGGTGACTAAATTAGACCTAGTACTTTTTAGTTGTGGTACAGAACTATCCTAGGACATTTCAGTTCAGTAGTGGAACAAAAAGTGTAAAATCTGCAGTAGAACACGGAGGCCAAAAAGTACACAACATACTCAAAAGCATTCACATAGAAAAAAAAAAAATCACATAATAAATTAGGACTGCAAATACATATCCTGATCTTCCGAATGTATTTTGAATAAATTTGTAATATTTTATTTTATGTTTCTCTTTTAGGTTGTACACATTGATTCATTACATCGCCTTCTTGGACACAGAGACCGTGAAGCTCGAGGAACCCAAGGAACCCAAGATGGAAGTTTTCAAAGCCTTAAAAAAGGTACTTATTTCTAAATATATAAATAACGTGTTGACTTTAATTGCCATTTTATAGGTTTTGTGTTTGTCATTGAGCTGAGTAGCCATGAGCAAGGTTTAAAACGTTAATATTATTATTTTTTTTATGTCTATGGGAAAAATTTATGGAAAAATTTAGAAATTCTAGGTCCAGCTCACAGGTATCGTACTGTAGGATGTGAGTTTCTATAGGAGGTGCAATGTTTAACAGTCTCACAGGCTGGTAGGGCTGAAAGATAACAACAAAGTTAACATTTTAAACTAAGACAAATAGGGTGAGTGCATCAGTGGCTCCTTTAAGTGTAAAATCAGGTGCTTCTTCAGAACAAGCAAAACAGTTTAAAGGCCCGTATGATCTCTGTTATAATGTTGTTTCCTCATCAAAAACAGACCTGGAGTTGTGTTTTATTCCATTCACACATATTTAACACGCAAATCCTGCATATTTAGGCTGAGTTCTTCTCTCAAACAGAAAACACCCTGTTCCACCTAGTGATGTCAGATGATAAATACAGGTAAAACAGTGCTTCAGTGTGTTTTTAAACTCCATACACCTTCACTAGAGTCATTTGGTTAATTTCAGCCCTAGAGTAATTTGATTAATTTCAGCCCTAAAATTACTAAGAGACAATTACCAACAAAAGGTAAAACTAGCTGTGAACTTGAGAACAACAGCTTCATGACATCACAAGGTGGAACAGAGCATTTTGAGCTTTGGAGATGTAGACAAACGAACAAGAAAGAGTTACTCAAACATGGAAACAAAACACAGCTCCGGGTGTGTTTTTAAGAAGGAAACAACATTCTAACATGGCTTAAAACTCAAAGATGTCAATTTTGTGTAATATAGGACCTTTAAAGTCTAAATGCATCCAAAAGAACTGACAAAAAGACTGAAATATTGAAGCGTTTCTACAGATCTTAAGTAGAAGGTTATCACTTTTTATACAGAATAAGGAAGGACGTTTGTGGAGGAAATTGTGGTTCTTTTATGGCCAAAACTGCTTCCAATTCAGCTGCGATTGTGTGTTGCTCTGTTTGGCCGACCTGGCACAAATGGACCCGGTGTACGCAAGAATGATCCAAATTTAGATCTTCATCATCAGAGTGCATCCACATAATGCTTTTCCTGGAGACACTTTATTCATTTATTTATTGTTTCGTGATTCACCGTGGAAACTGTTCTTCCTCGACCTTTTTATGTCCTCGGAGATTTAGTCATGTTTGAGGTCAGTGATTGAAACACGTACTGACATATTGTGTAATTAATATGTCAGTAGTATGGGTGTTGTCGTCTTTGCAGCCTTTCTTTTGTTAACACCATTTAATCTGATAGAGCTATTTTGTTTTCCTTATACTTAGATGTGGGCTGAGTTACAATACTCAAAGACAAAAGTTTTTAATGCTGGGGTTAGCAAACTTATAATTACATTTATACAAGCTTGACAAGGGTGTCCAAGGTTAATTCTGATTCAAACTGGCACAAAAACTATACATTTTGCATAATTGTATTTACCAAAAACGCCAAAAAAATTGTTTGATTATGTGAATATATGGGCCAAAATCACAATAGTAATTTTGGCACTTTGACACTTTTTCATTTATTTACATTGTAGATTGTCACTGAAGGCGTCTAAACTATGAATAGACGCATAGTATGTAGCAAAAAACAAAACAAAACAAAACAAAAAACACTAAAAATAACAAAAAAAAAACCCAAAAAACAAACATGTAACTCAATTTAAAAACACCCACTCTTTGCTTTGAACCCTTTTCTAGACCCTGACAAGGCACAGCAATGTAGTGAAAACCATTTCAGGAGACAGTGGCAACAATCAGTTCTCACTCAGTGCTGTAGTGACATGTGTAATTTTTAAATGAATTGCTTAATTGCTTTAATTAATTGCTCACTAATTAACGAAATGGTAGGTGTCCATACATTGTTTTTGTGCAAAGCAAGCCCAGATGATAGATGATAAGTTAAGATGAGTTCTTCTTGTTCTTCTTGGCCTTTTCCTGCCCTTGTTTTGTTCTTTTGTTTCCAAGGGAGGAGCACTTAAAATGGGACTACACTACATTTCATTTCAGTCAAGCTAAACGTTTAATTTACAGCCTTTAAGAAAACCAGTGAGCTGATGAACAAATTATAGGTCTAAACCAGAAGTAAATCCGGTCTACCAGGTAAAACCATGACGAAAGCTTAGGGCCGCAGAGTTTCAGATGATGTTTCCACATTCTGTAGGCCAGTGTTATTTAATGAGGATGGGAGCAGCTAAATCAGTACTGTCCAATTACAGATTTTTTTTTTGTAATACAGCATGATCTTAGGTCTAGTCAATAAAAGAAATGATCAGATTCCATATTTGAGAATTTACCTTTCCAATATTTCATGGCAAAGTACAATGTTATTCACAGATAAAACTGGCTCTTGCCCCCATCTGAAAATACGACATCATCACATTGTTGAATCTGAACCCCACTCACTGTAGATTTGGTTTAGTCCAGTTCAAGTCTTGGTCTAGTTTAGGTTTAGTTTCCGATTTAGCCACACTTTTGATGTGGTGTGGCAGTAAGAGTGAACACAAAAAACATCTACATTTAAACCAGGAATAAGTGATAAAAATTTTAATAAAAATTGCTCAAACTTTATCCACAAATTGATGAAATTAAAATAAACAACTAACAAGGATGCGCTGACACTTACATTACATTAAAATTGAAACTAAAATGGGACTACGCCCTAAGCCTGTCATGATAACACATTTTGAAGTGCTACAATCTGCTGACGATAAATGAAAATACTGTTAAATGTACAATATTGTTAAAAATTTCAAGATCATAATTCAGACTTCTGCTGCTCAAACCTTATCATAGTACAGAAATAACAACAATCATCCCATTACAAAGAAAAAGTCCCCAAGACCCCCAAAAATTATGATTCCATCTACTGTATTGTACTGAATGATAAGTCAGTATAGTATTTATTGTGACAGGCTTGATTAACCCAGAAATAACCAGGACGGGGTCAGATCTAAACCAAGTCAACAGGATTAAACTGGGATCAAGTCATGACAAGTGAACCCAGCGTCACATAATTCTGTGTCTGTGGCTTGTGAAGGACTTGACATTTCACAAAACCACATTTGCAGAAGTGTTACATAACACAAGTTGCACCCATTAAACAGGAGAAATCTTGTTTTTCCAACTCCTCTCAACTAACTACAGCCTCTATATATTTACTAAATGAGACCTATTTACGGCTTTTGATGTGATCCTCAATTCACAGCCAAGGCAGTGTCAATATGTCACTCAATGCAAATATAATTGATTGTAAAACCAACTCTTTGAATAAATACCGTGGCAATTACCAGTCATTATAAAGTACTACTCCCTCGACATGAGTCTTTGCTTTACCTGGAAAACATTTTAATTAGCATTGTTAGCATAACTATCACTTAATCTAGGCGTGTTTCAGTGTAATCATGTGGATTCCTCACAGGTTGACGATGAGGAAAGTGACGACAATGACGAGGTGCTGTTCTCAAGCGTACGCCACAGAAGTCACGACTCAGGATCAGAGGTCTGAGCTAAACTACAGTAAACAAGACAGAAAATGAGCACTTTAAACACACCACTAGACAATGCACTGAAGACTATGAAGGATTGCATGTTATGTTTTTTGTTTTTTTACTTAAATTCCTCACTAACTTTTTTACCTGATATGTACAGTTTTGGAGAATGTGCACAGTACACAATTCTGGGCCATGTACAGAACCTTGTTGTAGCCCCGCCTGTACTGCACTTTTGGACGACTTCTTTCTTGCTGTAGTCCATTAATCAATATAACTTTATCTCTTGAAGGACAATTTAAAGCAACACTGTGTAACTTTCTGGTGGGACATTCTCCATGGAGATAGATGAGTTTTATATTTATATATGCAACACACAGAACAATATCTCCATGGAGACACGCAGGAGGAAGTCAGTGAAGCAAAAATTTGAGAGAAATATCCAAACAGAAAATCCATACATATTGAACCTTAAAGGGACAGTTAGTGAGCCAGAGTGTTGGAGACATGTGGAGACACTTTTTTAAATATTCCATCCAGTCCTTGTATTTGCAGAGGTCGCTGGTCCTAGGCTAGTGCATGTCAATGGCCATAGTTAGCCTGCCACTAAAAACAAAATCCCGAAGCAAATCTATTATTACGCCACTGTTGATGTAAATGTCTGTGTCAATAGAATAATTTTAGAAGTAAAACCAACCTTGCATTTGAAGGATTTCTGACTGAGCAGCAGCACTGAGTTGTAGTTCCTGATAGAAAGCTTAGCAGCATCGGACTGATATATGAGAAAATAGTCCCTCAACATGTGACGATTCATCTGATGTAAAGTTAGTTTTATTTCAAACATTATTCTGTCAACACAGACATTTACATGGACAGTCTGTTGTAATAATAGTTTTGCGTCGAGTGTTTTGTGGAGTGGGTAAGACTGTTTTTCGTTACAGACTAACTATGGCCATTGACATGCACTAGCCTAGCACCAACGACGTCTGCAAATACAAGGACTGGATGGGTTATTTCAAAAACGGTCTCCACACATCTCCAACACTCTGGCTCACTAGGAAATTAGACCCTATGTCTAAAATTCCTGACCGTTCCTTTAAAGTTAAGATTCACATCCACAGATATCTCTGTTATTACTGGGCCTATCCACATGGAAAAATGGCTGTGTTTAATGCCATCTGTGGATTTTTATTATTTGTTTCCAAAATAGCTTCTGAAAACAATGTCACAATTCAACCCAAAAGAGATTGATTAAGAGAGTTGTCAGTTTGTGAAGATAATCTCTAACAAATAATGCTAAGGTGTAACATAGGTTTAGATATATCTTTCAAAAACAGTGAATCTCATACAGAGTGAGATAGGCCCCTGCCCTCCCTTTGAAATTGTGACATCATCAAAGACTGGGAGGTGAACGTAACCTCTAGGATTATATCAGGTGTACTGTAAATGTGAACAAAGCTCTATGTGTTTACTGATATTAATTTTATTATTGTTTATCCTATTTATTTTAACTACATCTATATTGTATTTAAGTATTTTCTTGATACTATGAATAAATCTATGTGATGTTAAACTACATATTGTGATAATTTATATCATATCACAGACAATTCTCTATTCAAATATGTGTTACAAGTACTGCTGTTAAAGATAAATGGGTTTGGCAAGGAACTCTGCTTACCCACTTCCTTTTAAGGGCCTGTTTTGAATGACCTTATTTGGCATTACGGTACTTTGCATAATTATATATACTCTTGATTTTATCTTCACTACAGTTTTGAATAATTGTACTGAGAGCACATACAGTATTCACTGGTCATGACCTGCAGTTACAAAGAGCCCCAGTAGACGCTGGCTCTTGAAAATGAAAGTAGTTTGTATCGACTAAAAACAGTAAAAAGTTTGGTTAAGATGCATGTAGGACTATAGAGCTTCATGAAAAACACTTTGCATGTTTCAGGTATTCATGATGAATAATGAAAAATTAGAATTGTTGCCATAGTGATTAACTGGCCTGTATTTTATACACTATTTTCTGATTTCTGTTATAATGTTGTTTCATCATCAAAAACATAGGCCAGGCATGTCCAAACTACGGCCCGTGGGCCAAATGCGACCCTCAGACAAATTTTTCTTGGCCCTCAGGCATCCAGGTGAATTGGCCCGAATTACCTTGCATCAATTAGAAATTAACCTTTTACTGCAAGTTTGTTGAAAATCTACCTTGATAAAGCTGATATTTAATTAATTTAATTTAATTTAGTGTGTGGTTTTAAGGATCTTGGCATGAATAAAGTCTGATAGCTCATTCTAATGTGATAAACTTGCACATATTTCAATTATTCACTGTATTGAGGACCAGTCTACGGCCACACATGTTTAAAACAAACCCTGCATATTTCTCAAACTGAAAACCTTCTTGCTCCACAGTGTTTTTATATTCCATACACTATTTCAGCCCTGGAACTGCCAATCACTACTGAACTAAACAAAAAGGTAAAAGGTTGCTGTTAATTTCAATGAAAACTTCATGACATCACAAGGTGCAGCCTTGAGCTTTAGAGATGTAGACCGACTAACCTAAAGGATTACTCAATTGTGTGAATGAAACACAGTGGACAAGTGCAACGAAGATGATTGTTACTGCACGAGTGAACATTTTGCAAGATGCACTTAGAATTTTAATGTACAGTTTTATTTGCAGGCTGAACAAATCAGACAATGAAATAATAATGTCACTCACAAATATGAGATTCAGTGCAATAAGATATCAGTCCAACATGTGAAGACACTTGTGTGGTTGTCTTTTAAAAACATAAATGTTTGTTGTTTCTAATGTCATTGTCCTTGTCTGTTTTAAAAATGGATCATGAATCTGGAATAAAGATGAACTGAAGTGAAATAAACTGAAACAAAATATACAATTCTGTTTTTTGACAAGGTAACAACATTACAACAAAGCTTAAAATTCACATTAATCAATTTATTGTAATACAGGACCTTTAAGGAACATCTGCTATTTCAGTGTAAATATGACAAATGATAGTATTTCCATCTGTCGTCCAAACAAGTGATACAACTCCCTTAGCTGGTGGCACGTCTGGGTAGCTTTAAGTAATTGTATACAACTTCAATTTTTCCACTGAGAAATAAAGTGTTTTTGCTCTAGTCCAGTCGTAGGAGGAAAAGGATGTTTAGAATATCACCCAAACAACAATGTTATGAACACATCTAAATAGTTTAATCTGAAAATCCCCTTTAGCCCAAGAGAGACATAATAATTATCCCCTAAGTAACACTACGATATGGAGGTCACGTACTTATCCCCATGGATAGCCTATGCTATTGCTTAGTAAAGCATTAGACATGTCTATCTCTATGGAGACAAGCAGGTGGCACCACAGGGTCAAGTTACAGGTCAAGTCTGTGGAGAGGAGAGCTGCTCACTGTAAGTAATGTGGTACTGTATATGTAGTGATACATAAGCACATATACTTGATTAAATGCAAGATAGATACGTTTGCTAAACTGTGAAACATTTTAGGCAAAGCAATTACATCTCTCTGGAGACAAGCTGGTAACTGACACAAGACTATAAAAGTTACAGAGTGCAGCATTAAGTGATGAGGCATGTTTAATACCATATAGAAAACAAGCATTATGGAGAAAGTGTTTAAAAACCAGAGAAGACAGAACAAGTTTCAGTTCTTGTACCCTGCAGTGTGACCTTTAGACACAGGCCTCTGCCACTGGGACAATACTAAACTTTGAAACAATCTCACTTCCCCTTTGCTCTTTTCCTCTATGTGTTGTCTATGTTTTTCAGTGGTATTTGTCATCACAGGACATTTGAACAGCTCACACCAAACCACAGTGTTTCCATTGATCTAGTTTGCATAATTTGGGCTGCTGGGGGAGAGACTGTGATCATGTGTCTGGCCTCATTTGGTTATTATATCTATGAAAACATAAGATGCCTTATCACACAAACCACACTGGCACACAATCCACACTGGATCTCACTGCATGAACAGTGTGCTTATTGTATTTCCTGTCCTGTCCGTCACACACTGGAAAATTATATATGAATGTTTTTTCATGGTTTAATCAAACATTTTTTGAAGCATCAAATAATTATCATGCATAATCAACTTTTATAAGCTAAAAAGTTGTAAGTTATAAGTTTTCCCTTATGAATGTCTTACTCATAGTCCACAACATTCATATGTTTACAGTCATACCCGGTCACTCATATCCATTCTCACACACACATGCACATGCACAGACACACACACACTGACACGCACACCCACCCACATACCCACTAACCTACATACACAGTTTCAACAAACCTTTCATGATTACTTTAGCTGAGTTTTATCCATTATGATCAAGCGTGACGTTTCAAATTTTGAAAAAAAAAAAAAAAATCCTTTTAAGATATAAGTTGATTTTTCCATTGAAAACAATTGCAGAACATTATTAAACCAAACAGGCAATCTGTGTCATCGAGCCAGTGTTGTGCAATTGTTCATCTTGCACAATCTAGCAATAATGGAATAAGCTTTGTGTATTGTCTTAATTTAGGGTCAGTGATAGGAAACTCCAACATACATTAAAGTGACCTCCAGACCAAGACAAGCCAATGTATGTTATTTCTCTTTAAAGAACAGAGGCACTTTTAGCTGCATTTGACCCAAACTGTCTAAAGCAATTTACATAGTGTTGAAAATATTATCTACAGCAACTGTTATCAACAGTTATATTACAATTTAGCAAATTATATTAACAAAGCAAAATATTTAGACATCAAATGTGTATGATATTTTTGATCTCTTTGGCTGCTACACAGACACAGGTTGGCCCATAGTGACCCTCCATTTGATCTGTAATTTCATGTTAATATACATGACAAATATCACATTTAACTCAGCTGCATTATGTAACTTTTCTGCACAGGGGTCCACCATTTACGTTATTGGTTTTTGGTCCTGTCTATCTTGCATTTATTCAGCTACAAATGGTTTTGTTTGCTTTAAGAAAATACCATGAAAAACATAAATTCTTACTCGAAGTGAAGGGGCAACCCCTCCACAAATCTGACCAGCAACTTGGCCTTGGGGCATCACCTACTTGTTTCCATGGAAATAGGTAACTGTATTGCTATACTATATAACATCTCCATGGAGAAATTATGTACCCTCAGAAAAGTTACACAGTGCACCTTTAAACTGCATAATGCATTCACTACGGGCCACATGTACACATTATATAATATTCCGGGTACCACACAAAAATACCTGAGTAAATTTTGTACACATTAACCAGTCAGTTCATATAATATTTCTTTAACTCATAGTTTCACCATCTCCTCTGTGGATCGCTTTCTTTCAGTCTCTTCACAAGTTTTGTCCACTGTCCCCACCACAGACTGAGAGATGGGTTCGTTCACCTCCTCCCCAAGCACCTTCTTGTACGCCCCTGTCAAACTCCGACCAGACCTGCTCCGTGCACTCACTCCCATGAAGTAGTACAGTATGGGGTTCACACAGCTGTTAAAATACGCTACTCCACTCGCTACGGGATGCCAGATCCTCACCACTATGTTCTTGCTGTTCACCATTTTCCCCAGCAGGAGGCAGTGGTACGGAGCCCAGCACAGGAAGAAGGCGATGACCAGTGTGACGAGGGTCTTGAGTGGGCGGGACTTCTGTGACAGGCGGGTGCGCTTGATTCCTACACCAGCCATGATGTAGCAAATAAGAATGACGAAAAATGGCAACACGAAGCCACATAGGAAACGAACTGCGTACAGAGTATATTTAATGCTATTGTCACCATTTTTAGACTCCTTCACGTTAAAAGAGCACTTGCTTAGGTTGTTTTTTCCCGGGTAAACTTGCCGGTACATAAAATAAGGCGTGCTGAAAATTAAAGCCAGCACCCACACACACACAGCCACCACCCGGGACACAAAAAGAGTGCGATTTATTTTTGTGAAAAGCGGCCTCCAAATACAGAGAGCTCGATCCAGACTGATCACAGCCAGAAGAAACACCGAGCAGAACATGTTGGTGTATTTGAAGAAGCCATTGAATTTGCAGAGGAAGACTCCAAAAGGCCAATGGTCGAAAAAGAGCTTTTTGATGAGAGAGGAGATCCGAGTGAAGCAGAAGATCAGGTCTGCTATGGCCAGGTTCACCAGCCACACATTTGTGACTTTAGGCTGAGAAAACAGACAAAAACACTGTTAGAAATGTCAAAATAAATAGTCTTGTCTTGAGCATAAATAGCTTTAAATTGGTTTTGAGGTTTTAACCATCTTATAATAGTGTTCCCATGTTTAAAATATACCTAAGTTGTACTGTATTTTGCTTCATTCAAATGTCTTTCAGTAATACTCAGTGTTGGGAAGGTTACTTTTAGAATGTAATCCCCTACAGATTACATATTACACACCCCAAAATGTAATTTGTAACGTAATCCATTAAATTACTTAAAGTGAGTAACGTAATCTGATTACTTTGGATTACTTGATACTGTCATGTTTTTTTAAACGACATGAATGTAGCAACCACATCCTCAAAATTCGTGTTTGTTGTCTTCAATTTGTCTGAGCCCAAGTCTCCATGAATAAGCAACTGTTTGCTGTTGAGAAACAAAGACCAGGAGATCTTAATATAAGAGGTTTTGTCTGTTAAAAGACAGTAACAAGATCAGCCTTTCCTTCACCAGATTAAAAAATATTATTGATAGAGAAATTATATGAGATCACCTTAAATTATGTCAACCTACTGTTAGGTGTCATGTTGTTTAGACCTGGTTTAATCCTGTTTTAGTCCTGGTTTAGTCCTGATTTTTAGACCTGGTCTAGACCAGGTCTTTAGTTCTGGTTTAGTCGTGGTTTAGTCCTAGTTTAAACCTGGTTCAGTCCTGCTTTAGTCCTGGTTTAGTCCTGGTGTTAGTCCTGGTTTAGTCCTGATTTTTAGACCTGGTCTAGACCAGGTCTTTAGTTCTGGTTTAGTCGTGGTTTAGTCCTAGTTTAAACCTGGTTCAGTCCTGCTTTAGTCCTGGTTTAGTCCTGGTGTTAGTTCTGGTTTAGAGGCGCACAGGAGGAAGTGCGGTTTACGCGAGAAAACACGGTCCACACGCGGCTCACGAGACGGCGGTGTCCGCGCTGTAACTATGGAAGGAGACGTGGTCCGCGGGTTCTCAGGTTGATGACGATGATGAAGGTGTTTGTGTGTGTTTGTGTTTGTGTGTGTTTTTGTGTGTGTGTGTCCCCTCATGTGGCAGGTCACTATAGGACAGTAGTGCAGATATTATGAGTCTATGCAGGTTGTTTTCACCAGTGCCAGTAGCTCCGGTTTCACATTTAAGTTGTAGGCGATTTTATATTTGTTTTTTTTTATATATATATCTCACATCGGGAGAAGAATTTCCAAGACACAAATGCGTTTTTACCAATGCACTGCTGCTTCCACTGTGTGACTGACACCGCCAACTTTAACATGACGTTTACATCGCTCTTATTGCGCGCGTTCTGTTTGGGCTTCAGGCAATGAGTGAAATTACCGAAATAAAAAAAATAAATAAATGGGATGTAGCACAAAATGTGAAAACAGGAAAATACCGCCTTGTAATCCACTTATTTCAGCAAAGTAACTGTAATCCAATTACCACTCATTGAAACAGTAACTGTAACGGAATACAGTTACTCATAATTTGTACTCTGATTACGTAACGGCGGTACATGTAATCTGTTACTCCCCAACACTGGTAATACTGCAGACTATGGTCTGCAGAAATCACTCTGTTTCAGTTTTCCCTGGATAGTTACATCACAGAAAATAAACCCACTGCACTGTTTTTAAGTCCATAAAACGTCATCAAACTTATTTTGAACATTTCTGTGGTCAAAGTGGTGCTGGACAGGCTGGCGTCACCTAGTGCCACCTCTCAGTTTCATTTCTCTCCATTGACTAGGTCAGGAATTGGAATATACTGGATGGTTTGCAAGAACCCCAGAAGTGCGAATCAGCGAAGAGTCATACATTCTGTGTTGACAAAGATTCACGAGATCGAGAATTTAAAGCCGGGACAAAAAAACATGTTGAGAACTGGCTTATAACTCATGAAACCTGCAATCATTAGTTTTCCCTCCTCTCTACACGAGCGTGTGTGTACTGTCTGTATGCTCTAGTGTGTGTGTTATTTCCCACTGTGTACATTGTGATTATGGTTGTTAGTGTCTGTTTTCTCACTGCCTTTTAATTTAACTGTTTACAATTTTTGTATAATTCTTATTGTTGTGTTTTTAGGATGACCATGTTTACCATCTGTCCAGGGACTACAGATGAAAAATAGCCTCTCTGGCTAATTCTGGTACATTTACAGAAATGTTAATTAATGTACACTGTCCTTGTTAAATAAACCAAAATAAATAAATAAATAAATTAAAATAAAATAAACAAAGAGAATGTTTAGTGAATTTTATCAAGGGGAAAGACGTTATTGTCCTTCTTCCTATGGGATTTGGGAAAAGCTCAACATAGCAGTTAGCCCTGTAAGTGGTGCATTACATACATCATGACCAAAAAGCAGTGATTGGTTAAATTAAAAAAAGTACCCGCCTTCCGTCGAGTGAACGAATCCTAATGCTGTAAGGTCAGGCGGTTTCCACAAAGTAAAACCGTCTGATGAATCAGGCTAGTAAACAGGACTTCTCTAAGTAGATTTCAGACACCATACATTTACTATTTGAGAAATATTTCTACAGTGTAACAGTATTCTTAAAATTATAAATGATTATATTTTCTAATTTTATACCTTGAGTTTGAACCCTGCCACCCAAATGACCATGGCGTTTCCAGGGATGCCCAACACGATGGTGAGTGTGTACAGGATGATACTGATGTTGTCCATGATGGCGTCTATTTCCACTTCCTGTTCAGGTTTGGTGGATTTGAGACTGAGCTTTGAGGCGTTCAAAGACATCTTGAATCTGTGGAAAAGATGTAGAGTTATATTTTACTTCTTCATGAAAGCTGCCCTATGTAACTTTTTGGAAGATGGGTCTGACACCTGCTTGATCATGTTGCTTTGCCTTCAGTGTTCTACGTGTAAAATGCATATATACTGTATACGTTACCAAGGCAAAGTAATAAAGACATCTTTTTGAGACAAGCGCGTGGGGACCCTCCAACAGATGTTTCTTTATCTTACGTCATATTTCATTACCCATGTGGGATTTTGACTCCCGAAAAACATTTTGTTGAACTTTTGGTATCTGAGAAACTTCCTGTGGTTTGACACACTTTTTCTTTTGGTTTTGACGCAGGGGTGGGACGCCAAACCAAACCAAACATGCCTGCAGTTTCTGCTTTTAAAATAGCTACAATGTTCTGTTGTTAAAATACACAAGCCAAGATTCTGTTCTTGTTCTGTTGTTAAGTTGCCAAGCTGTTAGATACCTGTGATGCATCCTTCATATTCCATGATAAAACTCATCTATCCCCATGGTGAATGTTCCAAAGTATGGCTTTACATTTCTATCTTCATGTAATGATGCAGGTGACGTGCCACCTCTAGAAAATTACACGGTATCGATTTGAGTATCATAATAAAAGGTTATAAAAAGCTACTACCCACTGTGAAACTTTGACTGAACATTTCCACAGGTTTGAGAGAGGCTCTAATTTTAAGCGTACTTATGATGGTCAGGTGCTTTGAGTCAGCGTCTGCTTCTAAATATGTGGGAGAGAAGATGGCATAAAATAAAATACCCTTACACTTGTGCTGCTGCTGGCCATTTTGAACTGGAAATTGAGACAGTCAAATCTCAAAGAGTATTGTGTAAGACTATCTCTAAGATTTGGAATAACTGACAAATAAATATAACCTATAAATAACATGTAATACACAACTCATGTTCATCATTTTTGTGTATCAGGACAATATAGAAGTTCAAAACTATTTTTTTAATGTTTAAGACTGACAAATATACAAATTTTATTTTATTTTTTCTCAAATTAAAAACAAAACAAACAAAAAAACAAACCCAAAACTGTAAAGTAATGTACATGGGAGAAACATGTTACTCAGTTCTATACATTTGAGAGAAGAAGTGGACAAGAAGCTTAATTGTTTTGTACTGACTATAGCTACTTATTATATTTCATCAACAATATTTTTTTCTTTCGATATATTTATGATACTAAAAAGTTGTGCAAATCAAAAACAACAGGTAGTCAAGTGTCCCTCCCTTGGTTAAATAAATAAATAAAAAGAAAAGTCCTTACCAGTGTGGATGGTGCAGTTTCAGATCAGGAGCTCTGAGCAGACACAGCACAATGCACTTTCAGCTCAAAGAGGAAATGGACACATACCGCTTCATAGTCTGTGGTCAGTTAATATGACAGAGCCCGCCCCCAGAACAAAACTGAAAATTTAACTCAATTCCACACAGATCCGGCTCATATACAGCTAATGATGTCGATTCTTATCTAAAAGTCATTTGGAAAAAGCTATTAGAGGCATGGGATAGTGTTAGTGTACGGATATATTATATTGTGTTTGCATGTCTTATCTTGTTTAAGTTTGGAATCTATGGAAACTTTGACCATAATCAGGCTGGTATTTGACTTACAGATTGTGTATGTATAGTACCAGTCAAAAGTTTGGACATTCTGTATGTTATATACTAGTTTTGACATTTTCTATACAAAAGATGTCAAATATATGATGTAAGATTTATGGAATTATGTAGCAAAGAAACAAAAGTGACATTTCTCTGCTAAACATTTTATATAGTTTAAACTTTTTTATATTTTATTACCAAATCGTCAAAGTATCCACCATTTTCTTTGCTTTTTCTCCAGTTGTTTCACTGTTTTCTTAACTATATAATTCCATATACATTGCCCTCTCATTCAAGATAGATTTTTTTTTCTTACATTTTAGATACATACAGAAGACACCAAATATATGAAGCAAGATATATGGAGTTATTTAGTACAGAAAAAAGTTTAAAATATATTAAAAAGAAAATCCAAACTTTTGACTGGTAGTGTTTGTATTCAATAACAAGAATATTTGCTACTGAAAAATACATGCATTACTACTATGATTTGAATCACCTCTCCACAGATCTGACCTGTAACTTGACTTTTAAAGCAATATCATCACCATTTTAGTGGACGCCCCACCAAAAAAAGTTAATCTCACAACTTTAAAATATGCTCTTATAAGGATTGTAATGGTGAAGTGGTTTAAAGGCATAGACTGCTTTCTCAAACTGTTGTGCCCCTGAGCAAAACACCTCAGTCCCACCTCCTGTCACATTACGTGTAGATGAATATAAGTCAGTGTTTCCCAAACTTTTTTTCTGGAGACCCATATTTTAAAAATCACAAACCTTCGCGACCCAAGTCCATAGACATTATTCGTAAATCACAAAATAATTTTTTTCTAAATTATTAAAAATTAATGAGGATATTTTATTGTCGACAGAGTGATTGTGTCTCTCTGAACAATTAGTATTACTCAAGTTTTAAACAATGAAAAACAGTCATTGAAACAGCAATAAAATGGATCCATAAGCCTATTTGGACATTGAATATAGAACATTTAATTTTCTTTTCAACATTCAATTGAACCAGCAATACTGAAACAAAATAGTCAATAAAATAATTACAAAAAGATAAGGAATTATACAAAACATGTCTTAACATTTCAGCGTGTCAGAACTGTATATTGCAGACATACATGTAGATCCTGACAAGGTGACCCCCCCAAAAAATCTCTTGCGACCCACCTGAGGATCGTGACCCAGTCTTTGGGAAACAACGGTTATAAGGCATTCAACACAAAAATACTTCCATAAGGCATTAATAAAAATATAAATATAAAATAAAAAATACAAATAAAAATATAAATATAAAATAAAAATATTAAATAATAAAATAAAAATAAAAATAAAAATAAAAATAAGCTGTGGCCTGAATCAATAATGTAATAAACGAAAACACTGATCATTGATTACTACTGGGCATTACACTGTTAACATTGTTTCTTGGCTTCGAATGGGTGGATGAGGATTCACATATTGCATTTCTTGGTTGTTTATTTGAGCACAGTATTAAACCATGGAGGTGTTGCTATGAAACCACTGGACTCATGTTTGCCAATGAATCAGGCACTTAAGCGTAAACTATAGAGAGGGTTTTACTGTACAAGTTTAAAACAGCACTATGTATTTGACCTCAAAACAGCTGAAACGGCAGACAGTATCCAGATGATACTTCTGAAAGTACCGCAAACCACAGATGAAAAGAGGAAGTTGATGTGTTTTATGGTATTTTCTGATCCGTGTAATATAATTTCAGACATACAAAACAGACCTGGAGTTGTGTTTTTTGTTTCGTCCACACACGTTTAACACACCAACCCTGCATATTTAAGCTGACGCACTCCATTCCAAGTTGTGATGTCATGTAGTAGTACAGGAAGTGCTCCACTGTGTTTTTAAACTCCATACACCTACCCTAGAAGGAGATGTTAACTACCGCTTCATGGCTTCACAAGTTGGAACAGAGCATTTTGAGCTTTGGAACTGCAGACAGACTAATGATAAAGGATTACTCAAATGTGAATGAAACAAAACACAACTCTGGGTATGTTTTTGAGGAGGTAACAATATTCAAACGTTGCTTAAAGCTCACTAGAATCCATTTAGTGTAATATAGGATCTTCAAAATAGAAATGGTACGTGTCTTGACTGAAATACTTTCATTTTGTGCAACATGTTTCACTGCCAGTAAGTTGAAATAAACAAATGAACAGCCAAATGAGCAAATGTATAGATGATTTAGACTGAGATATCTCCTCTGTCAGTTTCATTATGTGTTATTGCCAACGTACAGCAAGAGCAAGAGCAGAAGGCACGCTCTGTCTATCAGATAAACCCAGAAGCACAAAAAGAAAACCACACAGTCTCTGTAGCATGAGAAGAATGCTGTATGATCATTGTTTAGCATGATTCATAGATGACTTCATTCATCATTACAGCTGTAATTCATATTGAAGTTCGGTATTTTTTAAGGGTGGGACGAGGTGTCATTTCCAAGGTGTGACATGATAATTTATAACACATACATTGAGCAATCCAGCTCACAATTTTGGCCTCAGCATTTTGTATCTAAAGGTGTATCGTGTAACTTTTCTGGTGGAAGGTCTGTCACCTGCTTGTTTCTATGGAGATGTCATTGCTCTGCTTCTGCTTGGAATGTTCCACAGTATAACATTAAACTTCTACTTTACATTTTTTCAATTACAGGTGGTTTTAAAACTCAAAAATAACTAGAAAAACAAATGCATTCTGACTGTGAGCGGGGTCGCTTCTCCACAGATCTGAACTGTAACTTAGTCTGGTTTGGTGTCCTTGAAGATAGACAGGTTTAATGCCATACTGTGGAACATTCCAGACAAAGCAATAGCACAGATTTGACGGATCTTCCATCGGAAAAGTTACAAAATGGACCTTTAAAGTTTTTGTTGTTATTGCTTTTGTAACTACAGCTTCTTAAGAGGTCCAAGTAATACTTAGAGGTGGTTAGAGGAGCTAAAAATGTACAGTACTGAGTAATGTTACTTCAAAATAACAGAGGATAAACAGAAAAATTAGAAAAAAATACATTATATCTGAAGAATGGTGCAAGAAACACAAAAAACTTCAAATCATTTCATCGTCAACATAAAGTTTTTGTCACCTTTATGTTTACTCACAATGGGAAGAGGAACCACAACTTTTACTCAAGAAAGAGTACTGTTACTTCAATTAAAAAATATTACTCAAGTAGAAGTAAACGTATGCTGCTAGAAAAGTAGTCTTAAAAATATAATTTCCGTAAAAAAGTTCCTCAAGTAAATGTAACCGAGCATGACCCACTTCTGCATTTAACTCCGGAGATGTTTTGCATTGCCTGGAATGTTCCATGTTAGGACATTAACCTAATATACTGTATCGCTATGGAGACAAGGAGATCTGGCTTGTAAATTCCAGATCTGTGGAGACTAGGCAATCCTGCTAATGTGTGTTTGTTTGAGTAATAAAAAGCACTATGACTGAATACATGGAAGACAGAAGTTTAAATATCATACCATGGAATATTTCAAGCAAAAAAGTGCACTTATAAATCATAATCTAGGGTTACTCATACTTTATAATAGGAAACAATAGAGTTGAACTTCAATATAGAAAGGATATTAGTCACCATAAACCATAAATAGGTCATGTTCCCTCTCTTCCGTGCCCTTAATGTGACTAGGTAAAGGTCTCACATTATATGAATTTGTGAGCTTTGGAGATGTATTGATTAATAATAAAGGGTTACTCAAACATGTGAACGAAACAAAACACATCTCCAGGTGTGTTTTTGATGAGGTAACAACATTATGACATGGATTAAAGCTCACAAGAGTCAGTTTTGTGTAATATGAGACCTTTAAAGTCGTATTATGGAACTTTTCTCGGTTGGTCTGTGAACCTGTAGGGAGTAATTAAGAAAAAGACATATACAATGAGAGAAAAGGAGATGTACACAAATAGTGGTTCAAATGCTGGTGACGTTTCTTGACAATCGAGCCTTCAAAGAGAAACTGCCTACTACTGCCCTCTTGTGGACAAATACCATAGGGCTTTTTCTCTGTTAAATGGCAATAGCAGAAGTACCTGTGTTAAGTAATAGATAAATCTTATACAATCAAGAGAGAAAATCCAGGATTGCTGAATCTAAATCTGATTAAGCTGTTGAACTTGTTTTATTACTATACAAATATGTTGAAAAGCCATTTTGCCAACAGTCATCTTGCTTAAAAATACAGTGGACACCTGCATGGAAACAGAAAATTAAAACCTTTCTTCGGAACATTCTCCATGGTGTTAGATACATTTTATGCCATGCTGAGATTATAGACAAAGGAACAACATTTCCATGGAAACAAGCAGGAGGAGACCCTCCTTCCTCCTCCAGGCCAAATAAGCATCAGATCTGTGGAAATGCAAGCCCGCTCACAGGAAGGATTCATGTTTTTCATTTTTCAGTGCAAGAACACAACAAAATAGAAATGAAATAAACAAAGAAACAAAAGACGTGGCTTTATATAGTGAATTCTTTGTCAAAAAGTTACATATTATGGCTTTAAATTGACCTATACGCTGATCTTTTCAAACAATAAGACAGTTCCAGGCAGGTATAATTCTCAAATAAGTCCAAACTGATATTCAACAATACAGTAGTTTAGAATATGCTACAACTTGTGGACATGAACATAGTGGCTTGGGACTTGTTTTAGTGTTAGTACTTTTGTGAAAATGTGTTTTTTAGTTCTCATTCTGCTCTTTTGAAATCGGACTTTTTTCCCATTCTTTTACAACATCCTTTACTTCCTTTACGTAGGTAGGTCCTCTTTTTCTTCAGTGACCTCGACTGCAGCATCTAGGTAAGTCCTCATAGCGAGTCACTGAAATTAATATATATTTTTAAAGTAATGACATTGTTGTTTAGTCTTCCTTCAAGATGGCTGCTGGCCTGAAGCTGATTTTTCTCTCTGCTTTGATGCAAGGTATGACTGTAGTTTTCCCACAAACGTCTACTGTTCCATATATATCTTTAAAGTAAATAGGACTAAATGTGTGAGAACAAAAACACTCCTACATAAGGGGACATTTGAACCATTGAATAAAAGTATTTAGTGTTTATTGTACAGTTTCAGTCAAACGTAGTAATAGTAGTAGTAGTATGCTGTATGGGGGAATAGGAAGTTGTTTTACACAGAATATTTGTTTTAACCTGACAGTCTTTGTACACTTCAGATATACTGTTATGACCTTGTAAATAGCCTATATATACGTTGCTTTTATTTTATTTTACGTGTACATATAATCTGTACATTTTTAGGTAACACTTTATAATAACTACACCTTATTTAGCCTTAATAAAGCAATAAAGACTTAATTAATAATGATTCACTCTTAGTAACTACTTAATTACTACCTTAATTAGCACTTGCACTTATTTTCCCTGTACTGTAAATAGTTACTCATAATTATTTCATTCTTAATTACTCATGAACTAACCATTTGAGCATTTATTAATCATCAGTAAACTAAGAGAGAAAATATTTACTTATAATACAATGCAATGATAATTCAGGCAGCTGTCATCTGTTAGTTAAGTCTTTTTGAGAGCTTTTCTAAAGTGAAGACGAATTATGCTTTATTAAGTATTTACTAAGCGTGAATCTTTGTTCATTATTAATTAAGTCTTTGTTCATGCTTTATTAAGGCATAGTAAGTAAGGTGTAGTTATTATAAAGTGTTACCCATTTTTTGACACAAGTCCTTCTGCTACTTCAGTTATCACAAAGAGTTTAGCGCCATTTATTTAGCTCTTTGTTATTATAAGATCTTTTACTATATTGTAATTTTGAGCTATTGTGTCCAAGTAATTCTTCTTTTGGATCCATCAGTTTTTTAAGTGTAATAATGACAAAATGGAACTTTATGCTGTTGCTGTTATTAGTGCTGAGAGAGGCAATAGCATCAAAAATACATTATGTTTGTTTGTTTTTTTCCCCCCTGTGGACTTGAATCTTGTGACAGCCAATCAAATGCCTTCTTATTCCAGGCGTGAATGGTCAGGACTGGAATGTGACTGTGCCGCTGAGGATCATGGGAGTTGAAGGCTCTTGTGTGGTTGTGCCCTGTAGTTTTACTCTCCCTGTGTCATACACTGCAGCACTGAATAACTGCTCTGGAGGCGCTGTGTGGAGGAAAGGTGGAATATCCGGCACGCATGTTAACACCGTAAGTGTTGATAATAGTTATGACTTGATTAATACAAATAAATGATCACATCTTTATTTTGTTAAAGGTTCTATATTATGCAAAATTACCTCTAATGAGTGTTTAGACATGTTAGAATGTTGTTAACTCCTCATAAACATACCTGGATGCTTAAAAAATGCTTAAGTTAAGATGACTTGAATTAAGAAAGTTTTATCAGGAGTAAATTTCACATGACAAGTAAAATGATCTGCCAATGGAGCAAGACTTTTTGTACTTAAAATATGAAAATGCATCTTGCAATTTTTAGTCCTGGTTTAGTTCTGTTTTTGCCCAAAATGTGAAAAGTGGAAAATATCGCCATGTAATCCATTTATTTCAACAAAGTAACTGTAATCCAATTACCACTCATTGAAACAGTAACTGTAACTGAATACAGTTACTCATAATTTGTACATAACGTCGGTACATGTAATCCGTTTCTCCCCAACACTGAGAAAATAGAATGTTGCTTGAATTAACAAAAAGACACTTATTCCACAGGTAGATCATTTTATTTTTCAAGTTGAAACTACTCAGATTAAGTAAAATGCTCTTACCTTAAGTCATTTTAACTTATCTAGATATTGTCATAAGACCTATAAGACCTATAATTTTACTTAAAGTCTGTTTCTGACTCATTATAAACCGAAAATTATTAAAAACTGTTTTGTGTTTTAAATGTGCTTTTTGGACTTAAAACATGGATATTATTTGTTGGTTAACTACCGCAAAGCAAATTAAATTCTTAAAAGTCCTATATTACGCAAAATTGTCTCTTGTGAGCTTTAAGTCATGTTAGAATGTTGTTACCTCATCAAAAACATACCTAGGGTTGTGTTTTGTTTCATTCACACATGTTTGAGTGACCCTTTATTATTAGTCTGTCTACATCTCCAAAGCTCAGAATGCTCTGCTCCACCTTGTGATGTCATGAAGTTTCAAGTTAACATCTACCTTTTACGTTTAGTTCTGCAGAGTTTGAATGTTCCGGGGCTGAAATGATCCAAATGATTCTAGTGAAAGTGCATGGAGTTTTTTAAAACACAGTGGAGCTTTCTGTATTACCTCATGACATCACAAGGTGGAACAGTGTGTTTTCCGTTTACGAGATGAACTAATCTTTTTGTATGTTAAATGTGTGAATGAAACAAAACACAACTCCAGGTACATTTCTGATGAGTAAACAACATAACGTAAATCAGAAAATAGCGTAATATGGGATTTTTTCTAAAACTCTATGGGAAAAATGAATGGAGATTTTACTTCGGAAGCCAGAGCAGATTTGGAAGTGGGCGGGGCTGTCGAGCTGTCCCCAAATGGAGGAGTTTTCAGCTGAAGAAGCGAACGTGATCTCTTTCTCTCTCTCTTGTTCCAGGTGAATGTGCTGGGAGACCTGAGACAGAAAAACTGCACCACGCTTTTCAGCCGTTTCACAAAGAACCAAAACAACTTTTACTTCTTCAGACTGGAGTGTCCAAATTCCAATTTAAAATACACTTTTACACAAGGGGTACAGATCACTGTCGCATCAGGTATTCATTAAATCCTCACTGTTCTTTATATGTTACTGTATACCAGAGCTGGCGACTAAAGTCAGACTTAAGTCACTATTTTGGGGACTTGAGACTTGATAAAATGGACTAAGACTTGGGACTTGACTTGGACTTGAAGTTCAATGACTTGGGAGTGGGACTTGAGAAAACTTGATGCTTCTGTTAAAAAAACAAACAAACAAAACAAAAAAAAAAAAAAAAAAAACTGGAACATGTCCCTCTCACTTTTCCAGTTGTTTCTTTGGATGGAACTGAAATACTGTGATACTCAAATGTACTACAGTAATATACACAGTACAATACAGTATAATATAGTAAATGAAGTTACAATACAGTAAAACAGAGGGAACTACACAGAACATGATCCTTCCATTTCAGTGGAGACTACACGATATAATAACTGTTATTTAGCACTTTTAAATCTGAATTCTTTCTATTCTGACGTAAAGATTCATCGATAAGATCTTGTCAAGACATTTAGCATTTCTACAACTCTTATAAATATATCATATAGAAATATAGCATGACTTTTTAAGTACAATTTAGCTTAAAAGTCATATACATAGCAAAAATCTAAGCTATTTTTGGTTTAAAGACTTGAAATGACTTGAAGCTCAAAGGAAACGACTTGGACTTGACTTGAACTTGTGGGCCAGTGACTTGAGACTCGACTTGGACTTGCAAAACAAAGACTTGGTCCCACCTCTGCTATATACTACTGACCAGGGTTGTTAAAAGTATTGAAAATCCGATACTAATTGAGACTAAAATTAATATCGACATTAGATAATTTGAGCATAACATAAGTAAAAAGTAAGTACTATTATTTTGTGTATGAAATTTCATTCTGTTACTAAATGTTCATTTTTTCTTCATTACTGTAATTGGTATTGAGCACTGAGCCAATTCCTTAATATGGAATTTGAGTTTGAATGTTTATTATCTTGATAACACTACTACTTACTGTACTACAGCTACTATCAGAAGAACATTTCCCATCTGTGAGATAAAAATACAACATTCGCCCACTGATCTGAAGGTTGGCGGTTCGAATCCAGCTCTACATGAACATCACTAGCGGTCAGATCCACTGACCCACACTGGTGTGATTCCAGCTCCCACAGATGAATGCTGCCGTTGTGTCCTTGGGCAAGACACTTAAACCACCTTGCCCACAGTGTCTGCGTACACTGGTGATGAATGTGTGTGTGAATGGGTAGTGGTTCCTTGTTGTAAAGCGCTTTGACTTGAATGGAAAACTGTAGAAAAATGACCATACCATGACCATAGATCACATCAGCTTTACTTCAATTAGTGGGCCTTGCCATAGATTTTTAATAGAAATATTTAAATTGACACAATCATTGATTATCAGCCAATGAAAAGTAATTATGACTATATACTGTATTTGTAGTGTTGCACATTAGCATATTGATTTTAGATAAACTGCGATATTAGCATCAGATTACTGTTAGTCTATATTTGTATCTGTTCCTAATCAAGGTTAATCAACAATAAAAATAAACACACCACATGCCAGTTCAAGTAAAGACAGGAAAGTTCTAAATCAGGGGTGTCAAACATATGGCCCGGGAGCCGATCCGGCCCTCCAAGACCTTTAATCTGGCCCTCGCCAGATTTTCTACTAAAATATTTTAATTATATTTTCTATTAAAATATTTTTAATTTTCTGTGGTACTTAGCATAGCAGTGTGTCCAATGCCTCTGTGCGTGGCCCCTCCCACCAGAGCAGCACAGATGAAGACTTGTCTCTTTCCAAACGCTCTTCAAGAACGATTGCTTTGACTGTTGACCGTGACACCCTCATCAGAAAAATGTCAAAAATGAGAAAAGTGGACATTTTTGACATTTTTTACAACATTAACTTTTTGCATACAAGTTAATGTTAAAACATTGTGTTGAAATTGCATTTTTCTTAAAGTTTCAGGTTGTTTATAATATTATAATATTTTGTAAAAGAAAGAGTTCATCAATTAAAAAAAACATTTCTGTAATAGATTTGCGTTTCTCTGCACAAATATTTGAACTTATGGCCATTTTTGGCATATATATGCCATGAGTTTTCTGATCCGGCCCCTTTGATCGACATCCCTGATCTAAAATCTTACACCCTTATAACTTTCACAAAACACACCTCTGATCCATGTGTTTGTGTGCAGATGTGTCCAAGCCCTCGCTGACCTCTGTGAGTCATATGACCATGGGAGATCATGTGACCCTGCGGTGCTCCGCCCTGGCGCCCTGCCCCTCGCTGCCCCCCTCCTTCACATGGACCGCCCCCGAGGGCAACAAGAAGGAGAGCTCACAAGTACTTAAGGTACAAGCACATCATTAGTGCTGTACCTTCAGTCCTGTTCAGTCCTGGTTCAGTCCTGGTTTATGACTGAATTAGTCTTGTTTTAAGCCCTGCCTCAGACCTAGTTCAGTCTTGCTTTAGTCCTGGTTCAGTCCTGGTTTAGTCCTGGTTTAGTACTGGTTCAGTCCTGGTTTAGTCCTGGTTCAGTCCTGGTTCAGTCCTGGTTTAGTACTGGTTCAGTCCTGGTTCAGTCCTGGTTTAGGCTTGGTTCAGTCCTACTTGAGTCCTGCTTTAGTCCTGGTTTAGTCTTGCTTCAGTCCTGCTTTAGTCCTGGTTTAGTCTTGCTTCAGTCCTGCTTTAGTCCTGGTTTAGGCTTGGTTCAGTCCTGGTTCAGTCCTGGTTTAGTTCTGGTTTGTCTTGATTCAGACTTGCTTCAGTGTTGCTTTAGTCCTGGTTTAGTCTTGTTTTAGCCCTGCCTCAGTCCTGTGTTAGTCCTTGTTTAGTCTTGCTTTAGTCCTGGTTGAGTGCTGGTTTAGTCCTGGTTTAGGCCTGGATTAGGCCTGGTTTAGTCCTGGTTTAGACCTGACTGAATCCTAGTTTACTCCTGGTTCAGTCCTGGTTTAGGCCTAGTTTAGTCATTGTTTAGACCTGGTTCAGTCCTGGTTCAGTCCTGCTTTATTCTTGGTATAATCCTGGTTCAGTTCTTCTGGCTCACCTTTTTGCAGATATCTGACTTATAACTTGGTCTTGATTGTCTGCATGGCAAAACACACAAAAAAGAAATACTGTCCCTATTTCAACACATTATATCACACATGATATGACATAATACAGGATCATTTAACTGAACCTCTATTACCTTTACACACCTTTATGATATACAATTAAAAATACAATAATAGTTCAGTTTGTATTAAAAACTGTGACAATAGGCAAAAAGAACAGAAAAAACATTTTTGTCACACCTTCTTCATCATTAGAATACTGTATTGTCTTCTATCAGAGTTCAGATGGACAGATGATGCTGGAGTCCACACTGACTTTCACAGCCTCAGCTCAACATCTCAACCAGACCGTCACCTGCTCCGTGTCCTACCCTCTGTCAGCAGGGGGCAGCACCGAGGCATTCACCACCTCCCATGGTCTCAACGTGTTATGTGAGTAGAGGAGAATTATTAACTTTGATCAGTTTTTGTGAATTAAAATGGCCATTATTGGGGTAAACAGAGCAGAAAATGTAGACTTACAAAAAATGAAATGTTGATCCTATGCTATTATATATATATATATATATACCAACTAGTACCTCCTCTCAATTTAATTTCTTTCCAGTGACTAGATCAGGAATTAGAATACACTAGATCAGGGGTCTCAGACTTGCGGCCTTGGGCCAACTGCAGCCCTTGGAAGGATTTTTTGATTTTTTTATGAAGCTGCAATCAGTGCCCATGCAGATTCACAACAACAGATTATTAACGCACCTTATATTCCAAAACTCAATTTACAGCAGTTGTGAAGCAACGAGTGTAAGTGGATCTGTTAATACGAGTACACGTGCACGTTCAGTGTTTTTTTTTTTTTTTTCGTGCAACCGCTATTTATCGAATACTCAATGCGGCCCAGCCTCACTCAGACTTTATCTAATGTGGCCCCCAGATAATTTGAGTTTGAGACCCCTGCACTAGATGGTTTGCAAGAATCCCGGAAGTTGTAGACCGTGCACCGGCCAATCAGAGAAGAGCTGTGAAGCCATGACGTCAAACTCAAGCGCCTGTGTCGGTCCCTTTTGTGGTAGAGCACAACAGTAAACAAAGCAGCTGAGATGGATGTAGATGAAGATAGACATTCTGTGTTGGCAATGAGTCCCGAGATCAAGGGCTTAAAACCGAAAAAAAAAGAGAATGTTTGGTGAATTTTATTCAGAGGAAAGATCTTATTGTCCTTCTTCCTATGGGATTTGCCACATTACATTTGTCACAACCAAACAGCAGTGATTAGTTAAATAAAAAAAGTTCTCACCTACTGTCGAGCGAAGGAATCCTAATGCAGCAAGGTCAGACAAAATGAAACCGGCTGAAGAATCAGGCTAGGGTTGTACTGCGTTGAGTGGTGAAAACCCTTGTTGTTTCACTATTTGTATTTTGTTCAGATGGACCCATGAACACTGCAGCACATATGAACGCCTCAGGTCCAGTCTCAGAAGGTTCTGTGGTGTTCTTCAGCTGCTCCAGCGAAGCCAACCCCCCTGTGTCTGCCTACACTTGGTTCAGCAACACCAACGGAAACGTACGGACATCATATCTTTGATTTATGACACCTGCTTGTCAATGGAAATGTTATTGCTTTGTCTGTAATCTTCCACAGTATGGCATTTATCTAAGTATTTAACTAGGTGTTTTTGTTGAAAAAATAAATGCCAAAGGTTCAAAATGGACTCTTGTGAAGTTTAAGTCATAATGTTGTTACCTCCTCAAAAACAAACCTGGAGTGTTTGAGTAATCCTTATTATTATTATTCTTTTGTCTACATCTCCAAAACTCAAAAACTCTAATGAAAGTGGAGGTTAGAGACACAGTGGAGCACTTCTTGTATTACCACATGACATCACAAGGTGGAACAGAGTGTTTTAAGTTTAAGAATATATATAAATATGTAGGGTTTGTGTTTTAAACATGTGTGACTGAAAAAAAAAAATATTGTGATGGAGAAACAACATTATATCAGAAAAGAGCATGTGTCACCTCTCCTCAGATCTGACCTGTAACTTGGTATGGTAGTGTCACCTGCTTATCTCCATGGAGACAGATAATTTTATTGCCATACTGTGGAACATTTCAGCCCAAGCAATAACATCTACATAAAGCCAAGCAGGCCAAACTAGAAATAAACCAGGACTAAACCTGCGTTAGCTCTACCATCTGATTGTAAAATTTGCAAAATCAATAAAGGACATTATTGTCTGAAAGACATTTAAGACTGTGCTGGACAAATGTAGATGTATTTGTGTGATGTTTCCAGATGGTGAAGGTTGGTGAAGGACCGATACTGCCTCTACTTGTGAAGCAGGCACACAGCGGCTTGTATGAGTGCCAGGCTCAGAGTGTGAGAGGAACTCAGAGGTCAAAACCACTGCTCCTGGAGGTCATAGCGCTGAATGGAAAAACAGGTCAAACAAGTACATGAGTTTACATACAAGATGTCACATGTCAGGCATGAAAGAGGAGCCATTTGTGTCCTGATTTGAATATTATAGGGAGACCATATTACGTTTGTCAAAACCAGGACACTGTACGGGGGTGGGACCTCGTCATCGACATTGAGCTACTCTCACCTGGCAAAGCTTTTTAATGTTTTTCAGTGTCCTGGTAAGCTTTGAGTATACTACTACTACTACTACTACTACTACTACTACTACTAATAATAATGATAATATGATAAAAGAATAAGACATTTGACTGTTTGACTGAATCTATATAAAATACACAGTATGAGAACAATTAGAGAAACAGTATTGCCATGATGCAATGTTAAAGCTCCTATATTATGTAAAATGTATTCTTGTGAGCTTTTAGCCATGTTAATGTTGTTGTTACATCAGAAACATATCTAAAGTTGTGTTTTGTTTCATTCAGACATACATACTATTCTCCATACTTCTTCAGAGCTCAAAATACTCCACCCTGTGATCTCATGAAGCGATAGTTTTCAAGTTTCCTTTTCCCTTTAATTCAGTAGAGATTGGCAATTCCTGGACTGAAATTATCCAAATGATTCTAGTAAAGATTTGTGGAAATTAAAAACGCAGTGGAGAATTTTCTCTATTACATGACATTACAAAGTGGTGCAGAGTGTTTTCCATTTGAGAGAGGAGCTCAGTCTAATTATGCAAAGTATGTGTTTTTAAGCACGTGTGAATGAAATAAAACACAACTCCAGGTATGATTTAGACGCGGAAACAGTATCATAACACAGATCAAACAAGAGCAATCAGAGATAGTATCCTGGTCCCCCATGAGACATCGGTGGCGGCAGTTCATCACCACGGAAGCAGCTTATGAGGAGCCCAGCTCATATTACATGATCGTTATATCCACAATGCAATGTGTGTATCTGTACAGGCCCATGAACATTTGTGTGATATTGGTCACACATGACAATGTCTGTGTTTACTAGCGTGTAATGAAAAATTTAATTTTTCATGAGTTTCTTGTATGTTAGTTCTGTGACTGTAGATCAGTGTGTTGTGTATCACCAGAACAAGAAATGGAAATAATTTTTGTTCCAATTAGAATCTTAACGGCATACACTGAAAGAGAAAGGAACTGTTATAATTAGTGATTATCTCAAAAACTATTAATAGTTTACTATACAAATGCGTAGAATTATACATAGATAATAATTTTTCTGAGATTTTGAGACCACTCCTTTTGCTCTAGCTCCATCCTTCGCAGAGTTATGACCAAAACTGCATATTTGACCTTTGGTTACCTTCACCTTCAAGTGACCTTGACCAACCTGTAACATCCAGTGTACCCCAGTTAAATGTGTGCCAATTTGTGTGATGATTGGTTGAATATTTTAGCCCACAGACGGTTCAGAAATTGCCAAAATTGCCAAAATTGCCTATCCTTTATAATGGCGTGACCTTTCAATTGACCTGTGTCACCTCAAATGACCTCGGATCATCACCAAACTTTTTTTGTAGCATCAGGCATTCGGGCAATCGGTCCATAAACGGCGGAATTATCGCGGGTGGACAGACACACAGACACACACAGATACACAGACACACAGAAACACAGGGTGAATACAAAACTTGGTCAACCCTTCAGGGACCAGGTAAAAATAAAGTAATATAGGCCCTAAACTATAATGTTACCTTATAGAAGAATTACAATGTTTTTAGCTGAAGGATTTGAAACATGTTCTCTGTGGAGACAATCCTAAACCCAGGTATTTCACATATTTAATTGAATAGTACAATACATTTATACCATACCTGGGGAGTTTATAACATCCCTTGAAGGAAAAGCAAAACATTTTTCAAGCATGAGACACTGATGATAAAAATGTACATAGATAGTACCTCTCTTTAACTTAAACTGTCCCTCTGTGACCTCAGGAGCCTTCACCAGCATTGGACTCTGGGTGTCCATTGTGTGTGGAGTCTTGACTGCTCTGTGCATCTTCTCGGTGGCACTGCTCTTCTACAAGTACAGGAGGTAACGCAAATATTCTTTACTACTTTACTGCAATACAACTTTGTGTGAGCTGGTGTTGAAACTTTTCTTTAACTTTAACTTTTCTGTTGGAGGGTCTGTCAAATACTTTTCTCCATGGAGATGTTGTTGCTTTGTCTGGAGTGTGTCACAGTTTAGTATTTCAACTTTCTATCTTCATGGAGACCAAACCAGACCACGTTACAGTTCAGATCTGCGGAGAGGCAACAGTGCTCACAGTCAGAATGCTTGTTTTTCTAGGGATTTTTGAGCTATAAAACCACCTGTAATTGAATAAATGTAAGGTAGAGCTGTTTAATGTCATACTGTGGAATATTCCAGCCAGGGCAATGACATATCCATAGAAACAAGCAGGTGACAGACCCCCAAACAAACTTTTTGAACTTTTGTCACTTTTAAAATACACCCATCTGAATTTACTTTCTTACAGTCTTTCAAAGAGGCTGAAGGTAAGCTCTTTATTTATCATCACTTTACATTTCTGTTGGTTTGAAAATGCTCTTGGACACTTTTGTATTCAGGTTTTCTAAGTCTAGTCCAAACCTGTATTCAAACTTTCAGCAGGTGGAGCAGAAAGACGAGAACGTTTACTCTGATCTACAAAACAGCACCATGTCCTCAGACTACGACAACCTCCAGGTACTGCTCCCTCATACAACAGCAGTCAAAAGTCTGGACACACGATTACATTTTTAAAAGCCCATTTTATGCTATTCTCTGATCTATGTTATAAAGTTGTTTTCTCATCAAAAACATACCTGGATTTGTGTTATTTAGTTTTTTAATTCGGCATTTTCAACTAGATAAAGTTTGAATGAAACAAAACACAACTCCAGGTATGTCTTTGAGGAGGTAACATCATTCTAACATGGTTAAAAGCTCACGAGAGTCATTTATGTGTAATATAATAAATTAAAATATGAATGGAATGGAACTGTAAACAAATAGGTGTGTTAGTTTTAGTGTAATTAATATGTCAGTCTGACCAGAACTGAAAAAGCTGCTTGGATGAGTGACAAAACATTTTCACTCTAAATCTTTTGTCCAGTTCACATAATTTAATTTTCTTTTGAGATAAAACATAGTCATTAAAGGTGCACTATCTAACTTTGTGGTTACAAGGTCGCCTGCTTGTTTCAATGGATATGCCATTACTCTGCCTGGAATGTTCCACAGTATGACATTAAACAGTTCTTCCTTACATTTAATCAATTACAGGTGGTTTTATAGCTCAAAAATACTTAGAAAAACATTCTGACTGTGAGCGGGGTCGCCTCTCCGCAGATCTGACCTGTAACTTGGTCTGGTTTGGTCTCCATGAATAACACCTGATGCCTCCTGAACACCTTTCCAGGAAGGTGTTCAGGAGGCATACGGAACAGATACCTGAGCCACCACAGCTGGCTCCTCTCAATGTAGAGGAGCAGCGGCTCTACTCCAAGCTCGTCCCGTGTGACTGAGCTCCTCACCCTATCTCTAAGGGAGCACCCAGCCACTCTATGAAGGAAACTAATTTCTTAGAGATGAGATCCTGTGGTCCCCAAACCTTACCCCCTGCGGCCCCTAGATATTTTGTCCATAGAGACAATGAACAGAACAGTGACAAAGGGCAGTCCTGATGGAGTCCAGCAGGCACCAGGAATAGATCTGACTTTCTGCTGGAACACAGCTCCTGCTCCGGTCATACAGAGACCGGACAGCAAAAGTAAAAGGGCCCCCAGCCCCATACTCCCAGAGCACCCCCACAGGACACCACAAGGGACACATTCAAATGCCTTCTCCAGATCCACAAAGCACATGTGGACTGGTTGGGCAAACTCCCATGAACCCTCAAGCACCCAGTGGAGAATGTAGAGCTGGTCCAGTGTTCCACAGCCAGGAGGAAAACGGCACTGCTCCTGGATCTGAAGTTTGACTATCGGTCTGATTCTCCTCTCCAATACCCTGGAATAGACCTTACCAGAGAGGCTGAGGAGTGTGATTCCCCTGTAGTTGCAATACAACCTCCGGTTCCCCTTCTTAAACAGAGGGACCACCACCCCGGTCTACCAATGCGGAGGCACTGTCCCCAACCCCCACGTGATGTTGCAAAGACATGTCAGCCAAGACAGCCCCACAACATACAGAGATTTAAAATACTCAAGATGGATCTCATCCTCCCCTGGAGCCTTGCCACCGAGGAGCTTGCCAACCACTTCAGTGACCTCAGCTGGGTGATGGATGAGTCCGCCTTCGAGTCCCCAGCCTCTGCTTCCTTCTTGGAAGACATGACGGTGGGATTGAGGAGATCCTCAAAGCATTCCTTCCACCGGCCAACGACATCCCCAGCAGAGGCCAACAGCTCTCTACTGGGGTCCTGGAGAGGTTCTGCTTCCCCCTCCTCAAGTGAGAATGCCAGAATTTCTTTGAGGCTGACCGATAATCCTCCTCCATGAACATGAACAGGTTTAATGCCATACATGGAATTGCATACATGCACCTTTAAGTAATAACAATATATATTTTTCTTAATACATAAACATGCAATACAATGCAATAATACATAAATCTTTTTTATTCTTAATCTTACTTCATATATTTGATGTGTTCAGTATCTAAAACGTGTGTAAAAAAAAAAAAAAAAAAAAAAAACATTGAACAAGAGACTGTGTCCAGACTTTTGACTCTTAGTGTGTATTTATATCAGATGAAAACAACACTATGTGCAAGTTTCTGATCTGTGTGTGTTGTGTTTAAGGTCCACCAGTCAAAAGTGAAGACTCCTCGAAAATGAATTGTGCAAACTGCAGCTCTGAGAAAAGGCTTCAAGCAAAACACAGAAACAGTCTCTGAATAATACGAATCTATTTGACTTAATTTGACATATCATTTTATTACTTGTACGTTTAGCTTCTTTCAGAAACCACATCTCAAAGACCTAAAAAGGAATGAATTTGCAGATCATTTGAAACCAAACAAATAGATAAGCTCATATGTGGTGCCCCTGGTTGGGTGTCAGCTTCCTGTTATGTGTAACATTTTGAGCACTCTTAAATTGGTAATCACTATAGCGACACTCCTAATTTCTCATCATTCTGAAACCCGTGGGTACAGCATTAAGCATTGAGTCTCCATTTCAGCACACAGACATACAACCATTGATTACTCACAATTTATTTAGCTGGTTTCAGAAAAAAATTTAAAAAGCACCATTTGTTCTTTGGGAAAATTTGACTCATTGTATTGGGCAAGGTGGGTGGTGAGGAGGTGGGCCCCAGGGTGATGGGAGGAGCAACGCTATACACTGGAGATAGATGGTATTTGCATTTTTAAGCACATCTTAAACTTAGACTTAGAGTTAGACAAAATATATTGAACCAGAAGGAAACTTATTCAGACAAAGTAGCTCACAAATCCCATTACATTATAATAACAAAGAGTAAAATATTACATTACATTACAATATATTTTAAATAAGTAGCAAAAAAACCCAAAAAGACTGGTGTCAAATAAGAAATAATTTTACAAATGTATATGTAAAAGTCAAAATAAATAGAAATAAGTAATAAAAATATCTCAGTTGTAGACAAGCGGTATATACAAAAGTTATATACAAGATCTGGTATCAGACTTAAATTTTCAGCATGGGCCGATATTTTGTTTTGGTCGACCTGCTGTATAAAAAATACACATAAAGCTTTATCTGAACACTTTAGTGCGAAGGGATAATACCGCAAAACATTACTACACAGCTGTCTAACATGTTTGAGAAAAATGGCCCTACATATCAACCAAAAAATAGCACCAGAGCTTATCAATCATCAGTTGCTCTGAATTCTAAACAATCTGCATTGGCATCAGCTATGAAAAAAAAAAAACTCTATAGACTCACATGAGCCCTGTCCCAGCTCCAAGTGATGCTCAAAGAAAAGGTTTAGACTTCCAAACAACACATTTAAAGAGTATTTTATTCCTTGTTTAATAAATGCTGTCAATAATGTCTGACTGTTGCACATCCCCTGTTTTAAATCTACAAAATCTTTTAAGATGTATTTTGTATTTTTTATTTATTGGACCTCTTAAATTAGTTGCATCCTCTGTGTCATGTCTAAATGTCTGTTACATGTATTGCCACAGCTCTTTGAATTTCCCTGTGGTGTTTTGAAGCACATAGCAGCATTCTCCTGCTCATAGACTGTTCCTCTCATCTTTACTGTAAAAAGATTCATTTCCCTTGACAGGCTTCTTCTTCTATGTCGGCTGTTGCTCTGCTATACACTCTCTGTAAACGGTGCCTAAATCGTCCCCGTAGCTCCGCCCCCAAACAGTAATACAATATTGGGTTCACACAGCTGTTGAAGTACCCTATGGCACTGGTGATGCGCTGCCAAGGCTTCAAAACCTGTGTATATCTGTCTGCTAGTTTGAAAAGCTGGAGACAGTGGTACGGAGCCCAGCACAGGAAGAAAGCGATGACCAGAATCACCAAGATCTTCAAGGAGCGCAATTTCCTGGACATTCTAGTATTTGTACGTTTGATTCCTAAACCGGTCAGAATATAACACACAAGAATGACCACAAAAGGCAACAGGAAACCACACATAAACCGAAGCAAGTACAGGTAGAATTTGGCACTCGTCCCCTTCCCGTCATTAAGACTGCACTTAGTTTTGTTGTTAGTGTCCAGGTACATTTGATAATGTATAAAATAAGGGATACTGAGAATGATAGCGAGAGCCCACACACACAGAGCGACTGCTCGGACCACAAAAAGAGTGCGTTTTGTTTTGATGAAAAGTGGTCTCTGAACACAGAGAGCTCCGTCCAGACTGATCACAGCCAAAAGGAACACCGAGCAGAACATGTTGGTGTATTTGAAGAAGCCGGTGAATTTGCAGAGGAAGGAGCCAAAAGGCCAATGGTTGGGGTTGAGCTTGTAGATGATCATGATGGGCCTGGTGAAGCAGAAGATCAGGTCTGCTATGGCCAGATTCACCAGCCACACATTTGTGACTTTGGTCTGTAAAAGAGAAAGATCCATCAAAATGTATCCCAGCAAACACGCTAAACTATTGAAACTATGTAGACATTAAATTGTACCAGTGCCTTAGATAGGTGAAGCTAACTGAAGACAGTGTTCTGTCAAACTAACTGGAAATGGTCGTGGAAATCTTATTGTTTAGTCTGGAGTTTTCCACAGTGTGGTATTAAACTTATCTATCTCTAAAACTCAATGTGTTTTATTCAGTGCTAAAATACAGTGTTTCTATGAGCAAGGACACCTCTCCACAGATCCTACCTGTGATTTGGCCAGGCAGTGTCACCTGCCTGTATCAATAAAGACAGATGTCATACTGTGGGACACTTCAGGCAAAGCAAAAGCATCTCCATAGAAACAGGTGGCAGACCCTCCATGGTAAAAGTGACATAGTTCACCTTTAACACAGTCTGCTGTGTTCCTGTCAATAACCCAGATGCCCTACACTGCACAGCTGATTTACACACCTTGATTTGGAGTGCAGCGATGTAGATCACTGCTGAGTTTCCGCAAATGCCCAAGACCACAGTGACAACCTCGAGGGCCACACTCACCCACACTGAGACTGCATTCATGTCCATGGGTCGACTGACTACCACAGACGAGTTACCAAACATGGCTACAGAGAAAGACAAGGGCAGATTATTAGAATACATATTTATTCCATAATGTGTTTCTATATCGAAAGGTTACTCTTCACATGCCACCATATTAAAGGTGCACTAAGTTACTTTTCTGGAGTTCTGATGTCATTGCTGTGTTAGAAATGTCACACAGTAAGGCATTATACTTATCTGTCTCCATGGAAAGAAGTAAGTTACATGTCACATCTGTGGAGACGCGAGTCGTTCATAGTAACAATGCATATATTTCAGGGTGTTCTTTATCAATAAGAACACGTATAATCCAATAAGTACAAAATAGATCAGTTTAAAGCAGATCTATTATGCTCATTTTAAACATGTTAGAGTTGTTCTCTCTCTCCATTTACAGTATCAAAGTTGTATTTAGAAAAATGTGTGTATTTTTGAGCAATCTTTAATCATTTTAATAAGTTTCAAAATGCAATATGTTGCCAATCAATTCAACAACATTTTATCTTCTCAGTCAGTGATATGCATAGGATTTGGCAGCACTGCACAGCCATTTTGGTTCAAATAAATCAATATATATTTTTAAATCTGCTGCTTGCTAGTGTGATGTGGAGCTATCCATCTTTATTGGAGTTGCCAACTCTTTGTTGTCATGACTTTTATGGTGAAGTCAGCTCCCAATGGGCAAGGTGGTTTTCTGACTCATAAGTCAGTGAGCTTGTTTCTTTCATTAAACTGTTTTAGGTCAATATTGTAATATAAAATGTCTAAATTATAATATGATCATCCAAAAACACAAGCACAATATGTCTTCTTTAGTGCCATACTCCTGAACATCCTAGGCAATAAGATCACCATGGAGACCATTAAGATGCCCACCGCCACACACGTTACATAATGCACCTTTATAGAAATAACTAAAATCTAAATATAGACATCAATAAACTGTATGGATACAAGTAGATAAAATATATAAGAAGGACTAAAGCATATTGTATTTACTGTGTCCATACATTTAATACAAAATAAAGCATGTACATGGAGCAGCACTTCTTACCTGTTTCTGTGATATGGAGTTTCCATAAAAATGGGTTTCAGTGTGTGCTTCTCTGTGACGCACCAGTGTTCTGAGCTTCTCAGCCTGACGCAGGACGTGAACATTCACATTTTATCTTTAGGGCTCATATCAGCACAGTGAGGTTTTCTTATGAAACGGAAAAGGCATACAGCTATATAGTGTTGATCTTTATTTGAAATTTGTCAATAAAAAAAAAAATTAAGCTCTTATGGCAGGTGCAGTTTTAATTTATTTTTTCATTTATTTGTCCTTTATTTAACCAGAAAAGTCAAGGGAGTCCTGGCCCCGACAGATCAAGCTGTACATCATCATACATTTAAACAATCACAAGAATTTGTTACAAACCGTAGATTTCATTTTCAAATGTTTCAGCATTCATTTAAACTGGCCTATGGAAACCAGTTCTTTTAGTTTCCAGTCCTTTTGTAAATGATTCCTGGATGTCGATGCAGAATACTGAAAAGCACACATCAGTTTCTGTGAACACTTGTACAGAAAGCCCTGAGATCTCAAAGAATATTGTCTATCTGGTTGCTGTTTGTTGATTTCTTAAATCAGCAGTGTCCTCTGTGCCTTAATGTTATGTTCAAATAGTCTGTTGTCTGTATTGTCACTGCACACTGAATTTCGGGTAACAACAATAAAGGTTTTGATTGTGAGTGCTGCTTCTGCATAAGCTGCTGCTGCTTAAAGACCCTCAAACCAAGAAAACTCAAAACATGAAAATCTTAGTCCTTTGTGGTGTTTTGAAGTCCATTGATTGCTGCTCATAAACTTCATAAGACCTCATATATGTGGGTCAGTGATAGTTTTTGTCTTTATTGGAAAAGGCCCATTTCCCTTGCCTGGTTTCTTCCTCTATGATGCAGGCCGTTGTTGTTCATACAGTGCCTAAATCGTCCCCCCAGCTCCGCCCCCAAACAGTAATACAGTATTGGGTTCACACAGCTGTTGAAGTACCCTATGGCACTGGTGATGCGCTGCCAAGGCTTCAAGACCTGCGTATATCTGTCAGTCATTTTGAAAAGCTGGAGACAGTGGTACGGAGCCCAGCACAGGAAGAAAGCGATGACCAGAATCACCAAGATCTTCAAGGAGCGCAATTTCCTGGGGATATGTGTACGTTTGATTCCTAAACCGGTCAGAATATAACACACAAGAATGACCACAAAAGGCAAAAGGAAGCCACACATAAACCGAAGCCAGTACAGGTAGAATCTGGCACTCGTCCCCTTCTCGTCGTTAAGGGAGCACTTAGTTTTGTTGTTAGTGTCCAGGTACATTTGGCGATGTATAAAATAAGGGATACTGAGAATGATAGCGAGAGCCCACACACACACAGCAACTGCTCGGGCCACAAAAAGAGTGCGTTTTGTTTTGATAAAAAGTGGTCTCTGAACACAGAGAGCTCTGTCCAGACTGATCACAGCCAGAAGGAACACCGAGCAGAACATGTTGGTGTATTTGAAGAAACCGTTGAATTTGCAGACAAAGGAGCCAAAAGGCCAATGGCTGGAGTTGAGTTGTAGATGATCATGATGGTCCTGGTGAAGCAGAAGATCAGGTCTGCTATGGCCAGGTTCACCAGCCACACATTTGTGACTTTGGTCTGGAAGAGAGAAAGATCCATCAAAATGTATCCCAGCAAACACGCTAATAAAGCTAAAAAAAACACACACACATTGAAACTATGTAGACATTAAATTGTACCAGTGCCTTAAATAGGTGAAGCTAAATGAAGACACCGTTCTATGAAACTATTCTAAGCTGTGGAAAGTGTCGTGGAAATGTTATTGTTTGGTCTGGAGTTTTCCACAGTGTGGAATTAAACTTGTCTATCGCTAAAACTCAATGTGTTTTTTTCAGTGTTAAAATACAGTGTTTCTATGAGCAAGGACACCTCTCCACAGATCCTACCTGTGATTTGGCCAGGCAGTGTCACCTGCCTGTATCAATAAAGACAGATGTCATACTGTGGGACACTTCAGGCAAAGCAAAAGCATCTCCATAGAAACAGGTGGCAGACCCTCCATGGTAAAAGTGACATAGTTCACCTTTAACACAGTCTGCTGTGTTCCTGTCTATAACCCAGATGCCCTACACTGCACAGCTGGTTTACACACCTTGATTTGGAGTGCAGCGATGTAGATCACTGCTGAGTTTCCACCGATCCCCAGGACCACAGTGACAACCTGGAGGGTCACACTCACCCACACTGAGACAGCATTCATGTCCATGGGCCGACTGCCTACCACAGACGAGTTAGCAAACATGGCTACAGAGAAAGACAAGGGCAGATTATTAGAATACATATTTATTCCATTATGTGTTTCTATATCGAAAGGTTACTCTTCACATGCCACCATATTAAAGGTGCACTAAGTTACTTTTCTGGTGATCTCCATGGATAAAAGCAGGTAACGCTACTAGGGCAACTTACATGTCACATCTGTGGAGAGGCGAGCCTATTCATAGGAAGAATGCATATTTTTCAGGGTGTTCTTTATCAATAAGAACTTGTATAATCCAATAAATACACAATAGATCAGTTTAAAGCAGACCTATTATGCTCATTTTAAACATGTTAGAGTTGTTCTCTCTCTCCATTTACACTCTCAAAGTTGTATTTAGAAAAATGTGTGTATTTTTGAGCAATCTTTAATCACTTTAATAAGTTTCAAAATGCAATATGTTGCCAATCAATTCAACAACATTTATCTTCTCAGTCAGTGATATGCATAGGATTTGGCAGCACTGCACAGCCATTTTGGTTCAAATAAATCAATATATATTTTTAAATCTGCTGCTTGCTAGTGTGATGTGGCGCTATCCATCTTTATTGGAGTTGCCAACTCTTTGTTGTCATGACTTTTACGGTGAAGTCAGCTCCCACTGGGGAAGGTGGTTTTCTGACTCATAAGTCAGTGAGCTTGTTTCTTTTATTAAACTGTTTTAGGTCAATATTGTAATTTCAAATGTCTAAATTATATCATGATCATCCAAGGGTGTTATAGATTATAACTATTTAACAGACACAAGCACAATATGTCTTCTTTAGTGCCATACTGCTGAACATCCTCGGCAATAAGATCACCATGGAGACCATCAAGAAGCCCACTACCACAAAATATGTTACATAGTGCACTTTTATAGAAATATCTAAAATCTAAATATAGACATCAATAAATTGTATGGATACAAGTAGATAAAATATATGAGAAGGCTTAAGAAGGACTAAAACATATTGTATTTACTGTGTCCGTACATTTAATACAAAATAAAGCATGTACATGGAGCAGCACTTCTTACCTGTTTCTGTGATATGGAGTTTCCATAAAAATGGGTTTCAGTGTGTGCTCCTCTGTGACGCACCAGTGTTCTGAGCCTCTCAGCCTGACACAGGATGTGAACATTCACACTTTATCTTTAGGGCTCATATCAGCACAGTGAGTCTTTCATGAAACGGAAAAGGCATACAGGAAATTTAAGTGCATATGGCAGGTGTTGTTTTTATTTATTTATTTATTTTATTTATTTATTTTATTTGTCCTTCATTTAACCAGAAAAGTCAAGGGAGTCTTGGCCAAGACATATCAAGGTGTACATCATCATACATTTAAACAATCACAAGAATTTGTTACAAACCATTCAGCATTAATTTGAACTGGCCTACGGAAAGCAGTTCTTTTAGGCTACGTTCAGACTGCAGGGCTTAACGCTCAATTCGGATATTTTTGTAAAATCCGATGGTTTTGCGAGGTCGTTCACATTTCCAATTAAATGCGACTTGTATGTGAACTCCAGTGTGAACAGTAAACGGCCCGAAAGTGTCCCACATGCGCACTGGAGACACGACTACGTCAACTGCAGCGAGCGTGCTTTGTGTTTACGGAAGTTGTCCAAACATGGAGGCGAGCATTGAGCACCTGGCGATTTTAAAGTTCCTCTCATACTGGAGCCTGAACATGAACAACTTACTTGTTTTAAGGAGGAGATTGAGAAGGAGAAGGACGAGGTTTTTGACCGTGGTGTTTTGTGGGGCAGCGGCAGCGACGTCCGTTGAAAGGAATGTGTGGATGCGGAGACGTAGCCAAGAGTGGTGAGTGGTGATGTGCTTCTCTTCAGTTCATTAACAATTTTCGCCGACTTCAGCGCAGAATAGTGACGTTTGTGGCTTGTTGATAACGTGTAGGTGGATGAATGCGCTTTGGCCGTTCACACTGAAGTCACATGTCAAGAGATCAGATATGTATCGGTTTCAGGACCACATATCCAAGTGGCCTGGGTTGCATTTGAAAAAATCGGATTTGTGTCGTTCAGACTGTCATTAAAAGATCGGATACAGGTCACATAGAAGCCAAAAAATCGGATTTGGGGAACTTCAGGCTGCAGTCTGAACGCAGCCTTAGTTTCCAGTCCTTTTGTAAATGATTCCTGGATGTCGATGCAGATACTGAAAAGCACACCTCAGTTTCTGTGAACAATTGTACAGAAAGCCCTGAGATCTCAAAGAATATTGTCTATCTGGTTGCTGTTTGTTGATTTCTTAAATCAGCAGTGTCCTCTGTGCCTTAATGTTATGTTCAAATAGTCAGTTGTCTGTATTGTCACTGCACACTGAATTTCTGGTAACAACAATAAAGGTTTTGATTGTGAGTGCTGCTTCTTTATAAGCTGCTGCTGCTTAAAGACCCTCAAACCAAGAAAACTCAAAACGTAAAGGTCTTGGTCCTTTGTGGTGTTTTGAAGCCCATTGGTTACTGCTCATAAACTTCATAAGACCTCATATATGTGGGTCAGTGATAGTTTTTGTCCTTACTTTAAAAAGACTCATTCCCTTGCCTGCTTTGTACCTCTGTGATGTGGCTGTTGTTGTTCACACAGTGCCTGAAGCATCCCCCTAGCCCCGCCCCCAAACAGTAATACAGTATTGGGTTCACACAGCTGTTGAAGTACCCTATGGCACTGATGATGCGCTGCCAAGGCTTCAAAACCTCTGTATATCTGTCGGCCATTCTGAAAAGCTGGAGACAGTGGTACGGAGCCCAGCACAGGAAGAAAGCGATGACCAGAATCACCAAGATCTTCAAGGAGCGCAGTTTCCTGAACATTCTAGTATTTGCACGTTTGATTCCTAAACCGGTCAGAATATAACACACAAGAATGACCACAAAAGGCAACAGGAAACCACACGTAAAACGAAGCCAGAACAGGTAGAATTTGGCGTTCTGGTCTTTTTCTATAGAGCACTTAGTTTTGTTGTTAGTGCCCAGGTAGATTTGGCGATGCATAAAATTAGGGATACTGAGAACGATAGCGAGAGCCCACACACACACAGCGACCAATCGAGCCACAAAAAGAGTGCGCTCTGTTTTGATGAAAAATGGTCTCTGAACACAGAGAGCTCTGTCCAGACTGATCACAGCCAGAAGGAACACCGAGCAGAACATGTTGGTGTATTTAAAGAAGCCGGTGAATTTGCAGATGAAGACTCCAAAAGGCCAATGGTCGGAGAGGAGTATGTAGGAGATGCCAAAGATCCTGGTGAAGCAGAAGATCAGGTCTGCTATGGCCAGGTTCACCAGCCACACATTTGTAACTTTGGTCTGGAAGAGATAAAGGTCCATCATAACACATCAAATCATGTTATTGCACAAAACATATTACACTATTGACTGAGCTTCACAGTCAAGTAACGTTAGATTTTTTCATGGAAATGCATTTGGCAAATAAGCTAATAAAGCTAATAAAAACATTTCAGCTACAAAAACATTACATTGTACCATTACCTTAGTTAACTGGAGGCACTGTTCTGTCTGAAGCTTTCTCAAACTATTCTAAACTGTGTTACAGGTGCACCTGCTGGTATCCATGGACATGTTATTGGTTAGTCTGCAGTCTTCCACATGGCATTTCATTCTATTAAACTTACCTATTATACATTTATTCAGTATGGGTTTTTTTCAGTGTTAAAATACAGTGTTTCTATGAGCAAGGACACCTCTCCACAGATCCTACCTGTGATTTGGCGAGGCAGTGTCACTTGCCTGTATCAGTAAAGACAGATGTCATACTGTGGGACATTTCAGCAAAAGCAAAAGCATCTCCATAGAAACAGGTGGCTGACCCTCCATGGTAAAAGTGACATAGTTCACCTTTAACACAGTCTGCTGTGTTCCTGTCTATAACCCAGATGCCCTACACTGCACAGCTGGTTTACACACCTTGATTTGGAGCGCAGCAACGTAGATCACTGCTGAGTTTCCACCGATCCCCAGAACCACAGTGACAACCTGGAGGGTCACACTCACCCACACTGAGACAGCATTTATGTCCATGGGTTGACTGCCTACCACAGACGAGTTACCAAACATGGCCCCAGAGAAAGACAAGGGCAGATTATTAGAATACATATTTATTCCATAATGTGTTTCTATATCAAAAGGTTAGATTAGATTAGATTAGATTAATGTATTTATTTTGGGCAAGTAAGAAATTTACATTCTTTTACAGTGGAACATATAACATTAATGAAATCATAGCAGAAACAACAACAACAACAACAACAACAACAAAAAAGGTCCAAAAAGGAGTGGGAAGAATATGGAGTAAGAAAGCTTTCAAAAATATTTGTGTGCACAGAATAGAAATCTGTGTGCATTTGGGAAATCTGTGCATATTTGGCTGTAGTTGCACATAAAATAAATATTTGTAAATTCTCAAATGAGTCCAGTCATACATAAAATATATTATGTGTATTTTATCCATCAGAATATGAATTGAAAAGTTACGACATCAAGAATTACAATCACGAAAAGAATATTTACGATTACGCTTTCATCAGTACGAATACGTATTCACAGACTGGACTTTACTGTCAAAAATACATCATCACTTCACAGACATTATTTATTGAGCAGTAGAAACATCGATCAAGATCAAGACTGTGCATGTTTAAGTTTGTAGCAGAGGGTAAAAACAGAGTAATGGCACAGCAAGGAGCTACAACAGCGACCGAGTGGATTAATTCAAATTTATTGTAAAAATGTCTTGTCTTGCCACATTGAATTTGGGAACTGAACACTGCTGTGTAATATTGTGTAGAAATACCTCCTCTGAACAGGAAATTGAACCTATATCTTAGTAGATCACATAGTGGTAGCCAGTTGGCTAACATCAGACGTAACGTTATCCCAGGGCTAATTAGCAAATATCGGCGTTTTCTGCATGTTTACATTAAAACATTCACGGCTACAGCCACAGCGAGCAGTCCATCTTAACCTTCATCTCAGCTGCATGTCTTGCAAGAAATGTGACCAAAAGTTCCTTGGGATGCTGAAATGTCCCAGTTTACACGAAACACAACCAAACTGTCCTGGTTACAGACGTCACAGCCAATGAAATGCTACACATTACAGTTTAATGCAGCTTCCAGCATCAATTAATGTTCGTGTTTACAGGCAACACCTTGGTATGTACACAGTATTTACCGGTAAGTATAATGTCACCGTTTCGTGGCGTGGATTGATTTCCTAGTTCATTATAACTCATATATAACCCATTGTCTGTAACCAGGACAGTTTGGTAGTGTTTGGTGTAAACTGGGACATTTCAGCATCCTGAGTAACTTTTGGTCACATTTCATGTGAGAAATGCAGCTGAGATGAAGGTTAAGACTGACTGACGCTCGCTGTGGCTGTAGCTGTGAATGTTTTAATGTAAACATGCAGAAAATGCAGATATTTGTTAATTAGCCCTGGGATAACGCTACGTCTGATGTTAGCCAACTGGCTACCACTATGTTATCTATTAAGATATAGGTTCAATTTCCTGTTCAGAGGAGGTATTTCTACACAATATTACACAGCCGTGTTCAGTTCCCGAATTCAATGTGGCAAGACAAGACATTTTTACAATAAATTTGAATTAATCCACTCGGTCGCTGTTGTAGCTCCTTGCTGTGCCATTACTCTGTTTTTACCCTCTGCTACAAACTTAAACATGCACAGTCTTGATCTTGATCGATGTTTCTACTGCTCAATAAATAATGTCTGTGAAGTGATGATGTATTTTTGACAGTAAAGTCCAGTCTGTGAATACGTATTCGTACTGATGAAAGCGTAATCGTAAATATTCTTTTCGTGATTGTAATTCTTGATGTCGTAACTTTTCAATTCATATTCTGATGGATAAAATACACATAATATTTTATTTGAGAGTTTACAAGTATTTATTTTATGCGCAACTACAGCCAAATATGCACGGATTTCCCAAATACGCACAGATTTCTATTCTGTGCGCACAAATATTTTTGAAAGCTTTCTTACTCCATATAAGAAGAAAACTTATTTAATCCCACCTCCCTCACTCTTCTAATCAAACACAATGAGCTTTCTTTCGATTTTTTTCAGACCTTTTATATTAAGCAACATGAACTATTTACAAGTGTGAGCAAAGAGTCACGTTATAGTTTGGTAACATAGCTGTATTGCAATAATACATGAGGATTCCAACAGTGGTAAGGAAAATTTAAAATACCAACAATGGTAACAGAGAGCACAGACAAGCAATGCTAAGGAAACAACAAGCATAAAGCGGCTCTACAGAAGGCAGTAGTGTTCTAATATTAAGACACACTCTCTATATACTGTGACCAGACCATATGTTTATATAACAACTTGAATTTATGGATATTTTGGTGTTGCTTGAGATATGTATTCAGACTGTTCCAGAGTTTTACACCACATATAGACACACAGAACCTTTACGGGTAGTTCCAAAATTGGGCAATTTGAAATTTCCATACCCACTAAAATTATAAGTTCTCCCTCTCATTTTGAACAAGCTTTGAGGATTACTTGGTAGTAAATAGTTCAGTGCTCTAAATAAACTTATCAGTGTATATTATTTGACAAGGTCAGGAATCTTCAGGAGTTTGGACTGGATAAAAAGATTATGGGTGTGTTCTAAAAATCCAACTTTATGGATAATTTGTTAAGTTTGTTTCTGTAATATAATTAATGGATGAAGTGTACAATGGTATGCGTTCCCCCACACTTCAACACAGTGTGTGTAATAAGGGAGAACCAATGAAGAGTATAATGTACCAAGGTAATATTTCACTATGTTTACTATAGCAAGACTTTGGACATTTTATTTTGTATATGTCTAATGTGGGCTTTCCATGATAATTTACTGTTTATTATAACTCCCAGGAATTTATTTTAATTTACATTTTCTATTTGGACACCTTCAATCATAATCGGTAACTTTGTGTTAATCTTGTCATTGCCAAACATCATTGCCTTGGTCTTACTCAAGTTTAATGACAATTTATTGACCTCCATCCACTTTTAACTTTTGTTTAGCTCCTCATTTAGAGTACTTATGAGCTCATTATAATTGTGACTACCATAAAATATGTTGGTGTCGTCTGCAAAGAGTATAAGTTTTAGTCACTGAGATACAGTAAGTATATCATTTATGTATATATTGAATAATTTTGGTCCCAGAACAGACCCCTGGGGGATTCCACAAGCAATTCCAGGGTTTTTTGATGTACACTTTCCCATTTGAACATATTGCACCCTTTCTGTTAGATAACTTTTCAACCAATTCCCAGCTACCCCTCTAATACCATATTGCTTAAGTTTATGTAGCAATATTGAGTGTTTGATAGTATCAAAGGCTTTCTTATGGTCAATAAAAATACCGGCAGCATATTTTTTGTCATCTAGTGCATTTGTGATTCCCTCTATATGTCAGAGTCAAGGCCCGCGGGCCGCATCTGGCCGGAGAGGGTTTTCTATGGCCCCCGGGATGATATACTGATTTATTATTAGAACCGGCCCGCAAAATCAGCCCGGCCATTTACAGAGGGGGATTTTATCAAAAACTGTATGCTTAAAGTTTGTAACGCAGTTTGCCCAGACAAAAGGCAACTCTTTTTAAATGTGAGCCTGAGTAGAAACACCATTGCTGAGCGTGTAGACCAGCTGTCTATCAATCTAAAAGAAGCAGCTTGTAAAAAAGGGACAGAGCCATAAGAAAATATTGCTTTATCCGATCCGATCATATAGTAATATATTTGTTAGGTTTTCAGTAGGTTCAGTTAGGTTTACTAGACTATGTGCAGCCATTGAAATTTTTTTCAATGAATATTCGATCAGTCCGGCCCTCGGCTTGTAGCTAATTTTTTCATTCGGGCACCTGTCCATTTGTCTTTGACACCCCTGCTCTATTGCATCAGTTTTTGCCATTGAGGCAGTTTTTTGTGTCCTAAACCCATATTGTCCTTCATTAATTATTTGATGTTTGTAAAGAAACTTTTCGAGACGTGAGTTGAAGAGTTTTTCAAGGATTTTTGAAAACTGTGGCAGTAGGGAAATTGGTCTATAGTTTGTGAAACTATGTTTGTTTTCACTCTTGAATAATGGAATTACTTTTGCAGTTTTCATTTTGTTTGGGAAACGCCCTGACTGAAAGGATAAGTTGCAGATATGGGTAAGGGGCTTAACAAATATTTTTTATTACTTTTTTAACTAGTACCATGTCTATGTCATGACAATCTTTGGATAGTTTACTTTTACACTTAAGAACGATGTTGGAGTGTGGATTTCTTTCAATATTTTGGTTACACTGTAAAGTTGGCTGATCTGGAATTTTTGCTGCCAACACTGGGCCAACATTTACAAAAAAAATAAAATAATAATAATAATAATAAAATACTAAAACAATTTATAACATCATTTGTATTTTGAATTTCATCATTTATGTCAATGAAATTGTCAGGATATGTTACCTTCATAGGTCCTGCATCGCCTGGCACTCCCCATTTGTTTTACCGCGTATATCTTCCATATTTGCATATCCTGTGTGGTACCTGACATCTGATTGGTGGGGCGTGGTTCCGTCGCTGTGAGCTGGTTCTGATGTCCATTATGCTGTGGTTGGAGGATTGACGTCCTGTTCCTCCAACCTCTGTCCTACACATCCATCGCTTCGACCAATAAAAGTCCTGTGCGCCTGTCCCTCCTGGTGGCTGGATGACAGTTTCAGTTCGCCCCTCACATCTACAGACGTTCACTAGTTGCCTCTCTTTTGATATTGTAAAATGTGTATTTATAGGGGTCATTAATGACCTATAATTTTGTTAGTTTTGCCAGTTTAGTTCCGTCCTTGGGCAGTTGTTTTTGTTTTTTTTTGGTTAATGTTAGCTACCTTAGTTTAGGAGTTGTTTAGTTAACTTTGGAAACATCTGATTTATCAAATGTAAAACACTTTTTTTTTTAGTTTTTTTGTTATTGTACTTACTTACATTCACTTTATAAAAGCCGTTTACTTTACATCATATCTGGTTTGTGTTACTTTCCTTTGTCCCTAGCACTGGGTTGTAACAGGTCCTTAGTCTATTCAGTGTTCCCCAAGTTCCTTTTATATTGTTTCTATGTTCATATAATATTTTCTTATAAAATAACTGCTTGCTTGCTCTAATTATGTCTGTTAATATATTTTTGTAAAGCTCTGGGGACAGGAGTGCTACTTGGATATGCAAAAAATTTGCAGAATTGTTCTTTTGGTGCTCTTCAGTGTAGGGACCAGTCTCAAATACAAAGTAGGAAAAAACTGAGGCACTCAAAAAGTACAAAATAATTGCAAACTGCAGTTTGCCCTGATGAAGGCCAAAGGGCCGAAACACGTTGGTGTATTTAACTTTATCTGCCATGTGGTATTAAAGGCTTTTAATTATTTTGTACTTTTCCTACAATATATTTTTGTACTGCATATATCTTTGTTCTGCTTATTTTGTTTTTAAATTATTATTTTTTTATACAGATTATTTTTCTTTTTACCAGCATTAATTATTCCTTTAGTTAGTCAAGAGCTGTTTGTACATTTGTTGTTTACACTGAGTTCTATGACTGGGCAATGTTTATTAGACAAAGACAGGAATTTGTGTAAAAAGATATTATACGCTTGGTCCACATCTGTTTCTCTACAGACTGTACTCCAATCCAAGGTTACTCTTAACATACCACCATATTAAAGGTGCACTAAGTTACTTTTCTGATGATCTCCAGGAAAAGAAGCAGGTGACACCAGAGCAAGTTACATGTCACATCTATAGAGAGGTGTGCCTGTTCAAAGTAAGAATGCATATTTTTTAGGGTGTTCTTTATCAGTAAGAACTCCTATAATCCAATAAGTACACAATAGATCAGTTTAAACATGTAAGAGTTGTTCTCCGTCTCCATTTACACTCTCAAAGTTGTATTTAGAAAAAAGTCTGCATGTTTGGACAATCTTTAATCACTTTAATAAGTTTCAAAATGCCATGTTGCCAATCAATTCAACAGCATTTTATCATCTCAGTCATTTTGGTACAAATACATAAATATAATTTTTTAAATCTGCTGCTTGCTAGTGTGATGTGGAGCTATTCATCTTTACTGGAGATGTCAACTCTTTGTTGTCATGACTTTTACGGTGAAGTCAGCTCCCACTGGGGAAGGTGGTTTTCTGACTCATAAGTCAGTGAGCTTGTTTCTTTTATTAAACTGTTTTAGGTCAATATTGTAATTTCAAATGTCTAAATTATAACATGATCATCCAAGGGTGTTAGATTATAACTATTTAACAGACACAAGCACAAATATGTCTTCTTTAGTGCCATACTGCTGAACATCCTCGGCAATAAGATCACCATGGAGACCATCAAGAAGCCCACTACCACAAAATATGTTACATAGTGCACTTTTATAGAAATAACTAAAATCTAAATATAGACATCACTAAACTGTATGGATACAAGTAGATAAAATATATAAGAAGGACTAAAACATATTGTATTTACTGTGTCCGTACATTTAATACAAAATAAAGCATGTACATGGAGCAGCACTTCTTACCTGTTTCTGTGATATGAAATTTCCATAAAAATGTGTTTCAGTGTGTGCTCCTCTGTGATGCATCAGTGTTCTGACACAGGATGTGAACATTCACACTTTATCTTTAGGGCTCATATCAGCACAGTGAGGTTTTCTTACATGAAACGGAAAAGGCATCCAGGAAATTTAAGTGCATATGGCAGGTGTTGTTTTTATTAATTTAATTATTTTTTATTTGTCCTTTATTTAAGGGAGTCTTGGCCACGACAGATCAAGCTGTACATCATCATACATTTAAACAATCACAAGAATTTGTTACAAACCATAGATTTCATTTTCAAATGTTTCAGCACTCATTTAAACTGGCCTATGGAAACCAGTTCTTTTAGTTTCCAGTCCTTTTGTAAATGATTCCTGGATGTCGATGCAGAATACTGAAAAGCACACATCAGTTTCTGTGAACACTTGTACAGAAAGCCCTGAGATCTCAAAGAATATTGTCTATCTGGTTGCTGTTTGTTGATTTCTTAAATCAGCAGTGTCCTCTGTGCCTTAATGTTATGTTCAAATAGTCTGTTGTCTGTATTGTCACTGCACACTGAATTTCTGGTAACAACAATAAAGGTTTTGATTGTAAGTGCTGCTTCTGCATAAGCTGCTGCTGCTTAAAGACCCTCAAACCAAGAAAACTCAAAACATAAAGATCTTAGTCCTTTGTGGTGTTTTGAAGTCCATCGATTGCTGCTCATAAACTTCATAAGACCTCATATATGTGGGTCAGTGATAGTTTTTGTCTTTATTGAAAAAAGACTCATTTCCCTTGCCTGGTTTCTTCCTCTATGATGCAGGCCATTGTTGTTCATGCGGTGCCTGAAGCATCCCCCCAGCTCCGCCCCGAAACAGTAATACAGTATTGGGTTCACACAGCTGTTGAAGTACCCTATGGCACTGGTGATGCGCTGCCAAGGCTTCAAGACCTGCGTATATCTGTCAGTCATTTTGAAAAGCTGGAGACAGTGATACGGAGCCCAGCACAGGAAGAAAGCGATGACCAGAATCACCAAGATCTTCAAGGAGCGCAATTTCCTGGGGGATATGTGTACGTTTGATTCCTAAACCGGTCAGAATATAACACACAAGAATGACCACAAAAGGCAAAAGGAAGCCACACATAAACCGAAGCCAGTACAGGTAGAATCTGGCACTCGCCCCCTTCCCGTCGTTAAGGGAGCACTTAGTTTTGTTCTTCTTGTCTATGTACATTTGGCGATGTATAAAATAAGGGATACTGAGAATGATAGCAAGAGCCCACACACACACAGCGACCAATCGAGCCACAAAAAGAGTGCGTTTTGTTTTGATGAAAAATGGTCTCTGAACACAGAGAGCTCTGTCCAGACTGATCACAGCCAGAAGGAACACTGAAGAGAACATGTTGGTGTATTTGAAGAAGCCGGTGAATTTGCAGAGGAAGTTGCCAAAAGGCCAATGGTCGGAGAGGAGTTTGTAGGAGATGCCAAAGATCCTGGTGAAGCAGAAGATCAGGTCTGCTATGGCCAGGTTCACCAGCCACACGTTTGTGACTTTGGTCTGGAAGAGAGAAAGGTCGATGAAAATGTAACCCAGCAAACACACTGATAAAGCTAAAAAAACAAAAACAAAAAACATTTCAACTACGTAGCCATTAAATTGTACCTTTACTTTAGATAGGTCAAGGTAAATGGAGGCACTGTTCTGTTTGAAATTCTGTGAAACTATTCTAAGCTGTGTTACATTTACACCTGCTGGTATCTATAGAAATATTATTGTTTGGTCTGGAGTTCTCCACAATATGGCATTAAACTTACAGTACCTATTGTACATTTATTCAGTGTTTTCTTTTTTCAGTGCTAAAATACAGTGTTACTATGAGCAAGGACACCTCTCCGCAGATCCTAACTGTGATTTGGCAAAGCAGTGTCACCTGCCTTCATCAATAAAGACAGATGTCATATTGTGGGACACTTCAGGCAAAGCAAAAGCATCTCCATAGAAACAGGTGGCAGACCCTTCATGGTAAAAGTGACATAGTTCACCTTTAACACAGTCTGCTGTGTTCCTGTCTATAACCCAGATGCCCTACACTGCACAGCTGGTTTACACACCTTGATTTGGAGTGCAGCAACGTAGATCACTGCTGAGTTTCCACCGATCCCCAGGACCACAGTGACAACCTGGAGGGTCACACTCACCCACACTGAGACAGCATTCATGTCCATGGGCCGACTGCCTACCACAGACGAGTTAGCAAACATGGCTACAGAGAAAGACAAGGGCAGATTATTAGAATACATATTTATTCCATTATGTGTTTCTATATCGAAAGGTTAGATTAGATTAGATTTATGTATTTATTTTGGGCAAGTAAGAAATGTACATTCTTTTCCAGTGGAACATATAACACTAATGAAATCATAGCAGAAATAACAACAAAAAATTTAAAAAACAAAACAAAAAAAAAACAAAAAAACTGGCCTATAAAGGAGTGTGGATTTCTTTCAACATTTTGGTGACACTGTAAAGTTGCCTGATCTGGAATTTTTTCCTGCCAACACTGGGCCAACAATTACAAAAAAAAAAAATAAAAAAAAAATAAATAAAATACTGAAACGATTTACAACATCATTTGTGTTTTCAATTTCATCATTTATGTCAATGCAATAGTCAGGATATGTTACCTTCATAGGTCCTTGTTTAATTCGTCTGTTCAGTGTTCCCCGAGTTCCTTTTATATTGTTTCTATGTTCATATAATATTTTCTTATAATATAATTGCTTGCTTGCTCTAATTATGTCTGTTAATATATTTTTGTACTTCTTATATCTTTGTTCTGCTTATTTAGTTTTTAACTTAATTATTTTTATACAGATTATTTTTCTTTTTACCAGCATTAATTATTCCTTTAGTTAGTCAAGAGCTGTTTGTACATTTGCTGTTTACACTGAGTTCTATGACTGGGCAATGTTTATTATATAAAGACAGGAATATATGTAAAAAGTTATTATTATACGCTTGGTCCACATCTGTTTCTCTACAGACTGTACTCCAATCCAAGGTTACTCTTAACATACCACCATATTAAAGGTGCACTAAGTTACTTTTCTGATGATCTCCAGGAAAAGAAGCAGGTGACACCAGAGCAAGTTACATGTCACATCTATAGAGAGGTGTGCCTGTTCAAAGTATTAATGCATATTTTTTAGGGTGTTCTTTATCAGTAAGAACTCCTATAATCCAATAAGTACACAATAGATCAGTTTAAACATGTAAGAGTTGTTCTCCGTCTCCATTTACACTCTCAAAGTTGTATTTAGAAAAAAGTCTGCATGTTTGGACAATCTTTAATCACTTTAATAAGTTTCAAAATGCCATGTTGCCAATCAATTCAACAGCATTTTATCATCTCAGTCATTTTGGTACAAATACATAAATATAATTTTTTAAATCTGCTGCTTGCTAGTGTGATGTGGAGCTATTCATCTTTACTGGAGTTGTCAACTCTTTGTTGTCATGACTTTTACGGTGAAGTCAGCTCCCAATGGGCAAGGTGGTTTTCTGACTCATAAGTCAGTGAGCTTGTTTCTTTTATTAAACTGTTTTAGGTCAATATTGTAATTTCAAATGTCTAAATTATAACATGATCATCCAAGGGTGTTAGATTATAACTATTTAACAGACACAAGCACAGTATGTCTTCTTTAGTGCCATACTGCTGAACATCCTAGGCAATAAGATCACCATGGAGACCATCAAGAAGCCCACTACCACAAAATATGTTACATAGTGCACTTTTATAGAAATATCTAAAATCTAAATATAGACATCACTAAACTGTATGGATACAAGTAGATAAAATATATAAGAAGGACTAAAGCATATTGTATTTACTGTGTCCATACATTTAATACAAAATAAAGCATGTACATGGAGCAGCACATCCTACCTGTTTCTGTGATATGGAGTTTCCATAAAAATGGGTTTCAGTGTGTGCTCCTCTGTGTTGCACCAGTGTTCTGAGCCTCTCAGCCTGATGTGATCATTCACACTATCTTTAGGGCTCATATCAGCACAGTGAGGTTTTCTTATATCAAACGGAAAAGGCATACAGCTATATAGTGTTGGTCTTTATTTGAAATTTGTCAATAAAAAAAGGAAATTTAAGTGCTTATGGCAGGTTGTTTTTATTTTTATTTTATTTATTTAACCAGAAAAGTCAAGGGAGTCTTGTCAATGACAGCATTACATCACCATTTAAACAATCACAAGAATTTGTTGCAAACCATACATCTCCTTTTCAAATGTTTCAGCATTCATTTAAACTGTCCTATGGAAACCAGTTCTTTTAGTTTCCAGTCCTTTTGTAAATTATTCCTGGACGTTGGTGCAGAGTACTGAAACGCACACACCAGTTTCTGACAGTGTTGTCAGATAGGTTTAGAGTTTTCTGCCCATTCTCCTTCAAAAACCCACCCAACAACACTGGAAAACAGTTAATCTTTGAATAAACGTATGCAATTCATTGTTTGGCTGTTTGAAAACATTGGCAATAGTGAGAAAACATATTAAATGTAGAACAGCATTTTCATTTATCATAGCAAAAAGGACATTTAATATTTAAATAAAAGGCTACTTAATCTGTAGGCTTTTTAAAAAAAACATTACCAGTATTAAGAAAACATGTTAAATGTAAAACAGTATTTTCATTTGTCACAGAAAAATTGTCATTTAGCCTAATAGATGTATAAACACGTTGCATGCTTTTTAAAAACATTGCCAGTTATGTAAAACCTTTGGTAAAATGTAGAACAGTATTTTCATCTCACATAAAAATAAGTATCTTCAATGGTCAGCTATAGCCATAGGCTACTGCAAGAACAGCTGCAAACACAGAACCTGAATACTCATATATCGAAGAACTGAATCTCTACAACAGCTGAACGTAGCGGAAGTCCATTCATTTGTGCACAGGCCGGAGCATTTTTCCATAAGACTGGACAGGAGTGAAAGTCCCATATGGTTCCTCATGTTATTGCGTTATTGCCTATCTTGTTGATTGGTGTGATAACAAAATAACGCCTAAACTTGTTGAAAGTGGCCCAAATATTGCCCACCTAAGGCTTCCCATCCCCATCCGACGTAGTCAAAAGAAGCCCAAATGGGTGGGCACCTGCCCAATCTGGCAACACTGGTTTGTGCGTGAACACTTGTACATAAAGTCCTGGGATCTCAAAGACTGTCCCATCCAAAATCAAGCAAGTAGGAAGCTATTTAAGCCCTTTTTTTTTAAAACATAAGTATTGCATTTCCATTTCAACACACAGGCATTATTATTATTTTTTAATGGCTTCGGTGAAACATCTCCAGTGTGCTGTGGTCAGTGCTGTTTTCATCATGCCTCTAAATCCTGTTGACACAGAGCTGTCAGTTGGAGCTAGCCCTCGGACATCAAGAGCACATGAAGGAGTGTAGGGGCCAGTGACGTCTGAGATGTACGTTGGGGCCAGTCTATGAAGTGCTTTAAAAACAATAACATTTTCAAATGAACTCTAAAATGGAGAGCCAGTGCAATGAGGATAAAATAGGTGTAATGTGATCTTTATGACGTGTGCCGGTTAAAAGACGTGCTGCAGAATTTTTAACTAACTGTAAGAGTGACAGATTAGTTTGGCTCATCTCAGTGTACAGAGCATTACAGTAGTCAAGATGTGTAAAGGTAAAAGCCTGGATCACCTGCTCTAAATCACTAAAAGATAAAACCAGTTTGAGTCTAGATAAAAGCTGCAAGTGATAAAAACTGGATTTAACCACTGCATTTATCTGCTCAAACTTAATAACTTCATCCCGCATGTGATCTCCCTCAAAGAGAACGCGGCAGCTAGCACATTAGCTCTGTCCATTTATATTTACAGTCATGGTGACACTAAACCAGTAAATGGTAAAATTATGCCAAAAATGCTTTGCACATTGTTCATTTAAACATTTACAGTTTGCCTCCCACAGTTTTAGATCAATCCAATTTAAATAATAGATATCATTTCCACATTAAAGCTCTATCAGACTTGCACCGGGGCCTTGAGCGACTATGCTACGTTACTGGGGGTGACCATATATGTGCAAAATAACAGACATGACATAATGGTTTCATCTATTGAAATGAATGATTGTTGGATGTTGCTATCAGCCTCTTGGCTCCACTGTACAATATACAGATTAGGGCCCGACCGATATGTCAGTTGGCAGATATTATCGGCCGATATGGGCACTTAGAGACATATCGGCTATCGACTTAAATCTTGCCGATATTGGCCGATAGTCCACGTGGGCATGTTACACCTCATTATAAAGTTTACACTCTCTATATTATGTCCATTTAATCCAATTTACAGACAGATAAATGTCCTAATATGTGGTGCTGCATAAATACTTATCTGCAGAGTAACTGGTCTGTGTATGTGACACCGTACTGCCCCTGAACGCACCCCCAACTCATGTTTACGCTTGTTTACACACGCAGCTTCTGTCAACATACTTGATTATAATATTATATTATTTACGGACAATTGTTTTGAGTCAGGATTGAAAGGACATTTATTTGTGAAGACTTGTGATTTTTATATTATTATAAAAATTATTATATAATATATTATTGTATTTACACATATAATATAATATACAAACACGCATTTACCGCTAAAGGCTGATAGCGGTTGTTTACTTACTTCCTTTACTGGCTAGAATGTCATGCAAAAATGCCATTAAGCCTACCTGCCTACTGGTCACTACTTCAAATCTTCATAATTTATCCCAGATTATGAATGTACCCACTAGAGTTATTGTAACATATCAGGTCAAAAGTTAAGGTCATGCATAGATCATATATACACCAATGATATATACACCAATGTTGATGATCGCTGCAGTGACACCTCAACATTCTCTATTGGTATTATGATCATGGTATTAGTGACAGTTAAGTCTTTTTTACCAGAAAAGTCAACACACGTAAGGCTGGACCAAGATGTTTTGATAGTGGACCCCAGGCTCCCAGGCAAATAATGGGGCTCCATATAAACAAATACACTTTTAATTTGATGAAGATAGATCATATCATATTCATGGAGCAGTGATCGTTTTTGTCCTCACTGAAAAAAGAATCATTTCCCTTGACAGGCTTCTTCTTCTGTGACGTCGGCCATTGCTCTGCTGTACACTCTGTGTAAACGGTGCCTGAAGCATCCCCCTAGCCCCGCCCCCAAACAGTAATACAGTATTGGGTTCACACAGCTGTTGAAGTACCCTATGGCACTGGTGATGCGTTGCCAAGGCTTCAAAACCTCTGTATATCTGTCGGCCATTCTGAAAAGCTGGAGACAGTGGTACGGAGCCCAGCACAGGAAGAAAGCGATGACCAGAATCACCAAGATCTTCAGGGAGCGCAATTTCCTGGACCTATTAGTATTTGTACGTTTGATTCCTAAACCGGTCAGAATATAACACACAAGAATGACCACAAAAGGCAACAGGAAGCCACACACAAAACGAAGCCAGAACAGGTAGAATTTGGCGTTCTGGTCTTTTTCTATAGAGCACTTAGTTTTGTTGTTAGTGCCCAGGTAGATTTGGCGATGCATAAAATAAGGGATACTGAGAACGATAGCGAGAGCCCACACACACACAGCGACCAATCGAGCCACAAAAAGAGTGCGCTCTGTTTTGATGAAAAATGGTCTCTGAACACAGAGAGCTCTGTCCAGACTGATCACAGCCAGAAGGAACACCGAGCAGAACATGTTGGTGTATTTAAAGAAGCCGGTGAATTTGCAGATGAAGACTCCAAAAGGCCAATGGTCGGAGAGGAGTTTGTAGGAGATGCCAAAGATCCTGGTGAAGCAGAAGATCAGGTCTGCTATGGCCAGGTTCACCAGCCACACATTTGTGACTTTGGTCTGGAAGAGAGAAAGGTCCATCATAACACATCAAATCATGTTATTGCACAAAACATATTACACTATTGACTGAGCTTCACAGTCAAGTAACATAAGATTTTTTTTCATGGAAATGCATTTGGCAAATAAGCTAATAAAGCAAATAAAAACATTTCAGCGACAAAAATATTAAATTGTACCATAACCTTAGATAACTGGAGGCACTGTTCTGTCTGAAGCTTTCTCAAACTATTCTAAACTGTGTTACAGGTGCACCTGCTGGTATCCATGGACATGTTATTGGTGAGTCTGCAGTTTTTTTTTGTTTTTTTTTTTTTTCAGTTCTAAAATACAGTGTTTCTATCCGGACACCTCTCCACAGATCCTACCTTTTTTGGCAGGGTAGCGTCACCTGCCAAATCACAGATATAGACAGATGCCATACTGAAACTGGGACATTTCAGGCAAAGCAAAAGCGTCTCCATAGAAACAATTGGCTGACCCTCCATGGCAAAAGTGACATAGTTCACCTTTAACACAGTCTGCTGTGTTCCTGTCTATAACCCAGATGCCCTACACTGCACAGCTGGTTTACACACCTTGATTTGGAGTGCAGCAACGTAGATCACTGCTGAGTTTCCGCAAATGCCCAAGACCACAGTGACAACCTCGAGGGCCACACTCACCCAGACGGAGACCACATTTATGTCCACGGGCCGGCTGGCTGCTACAAAGGAGTTAGCAAACATGGCTACAGAGAAAGACAAGGGCAGATTATTAGAATACATACTTCTTCTATAATGTTTTTCTATATGGAAAGGTTACTCTTCACATGCCACCATATTAAGGTGCACTAAGTTACTTTTCTGTTGGTCTGATGTCATTGTTTTGTCTGAAATGCTCATTGTACTTATCTATCTTGCCACCACATCTGTGAAGAGACGAGTCCCCTTATAGTTGTTTCCCTTCGATATCATTTACTATTATTTAGCTATTTGGAGTGATTTGTGCATGTGAGCAATCTTTAATCACATATTTTATAATCATTAATCATTTGACATTGATGATGTTTACAGTGATGTTAGCTCTAGTTGGGCATTGCAGTTTTCTAATGCAGAAGTCAGTGGATTTGTTTCTTTTATTAAGTCTTTTTAAGAATAAATGTTGATGTTTAAAATGTGCAAATTATCACATAATGATTCACAAGTGTCATAGAGTATAATTACAATATATAACAGACATAAGCACAGTGTCTTAGGCAATAACATCAGAAACAGACCCTCACCAAAAAAGTTACAGAGTGCACCTTAAAAGAAATGATTAAAATCAAATTATAGGGATCCATAAATTGTAAGGATAAAAATACATAAATATATATATAAAAAACAGGCCTGAAGTATGAATAAAGCATATTGTATTTACTGTGTCCATACATTTAATACAAAATAAAGCATGTACATGGAGCAGCACTTCCTACCTGTTTCTGTGATATGGAGTTTCCATAAAAATGGGTTTCAGTGTGTGCTCCTCTGTGATGCATCAGTGTTCTAACACAGGACGTGAACGTTCACACTTTATCTTTAGGGCTCATATCAGCACAGTGAGGTTTTCTTATAAGAAACGGAAAAGACATACAGATACATAGTGTTGGTCTTTATTTGGAATTTGCCAATTAAAAAGGAAATTTAAGTGTTTATCTCAGATTGTTTTTATTTTTATTTAAGTTTTTATTTATTTAAGGAGTCTTATCCATGACAGCAATCACAATTATTAATTTATTCCAAACCATAGATCTCATTTTCAAACCTTTCAGCATTCATTTAAACTGGTCTTTGGAAACCAGTTCTTTTAGTTTCCAATCCTTTTGTAAATGATTCCTGAATGCCAGTGCAGAATACTGAAAAGCAAACACCAGTGTCTGTATGAACACATGTACAGAAAGCCCTGAGATCTCAATGAGTATTGTCTATCTGCTCTGTGTTTAGTCTCTTACTTTGTATTGTAATAGTGGAAGTTTGGCAGTTTGTGATGAGAAGTTGGGGAATTCCATCAAAATTCCATTCAAAATGAAGAGACGGATTTATGCACATTTTTTCAGTGAGTGTAAAGATTAATTCAAGAATGTAAAGGTGTTGTCATAAATACATATTATTTATATTTAACTATAATAACTAATGTGTAAATTAGACAAGCGTTGGCCCTTGTTTACAGAATGGTTACCTGGTCCAACCAGGAAGTAACATGATAACCCTATAACCAAAAAATAAATAGCAAAGATTTGGCAATTTTATAAGTAAAATCTTAAATATAATTGTGTTTAGTTGTAGTGAAATGGCTAGTCTAACCTGTCACCTGTGATGTGACAAATGTATTATTCCTTAAAGATCCTGTACTACACAAAATGGACTCTTGTGAACTTTTAGCCATGTTATAAAGTTGTTACCTCCTCATAATCATACCTTTTTTTCCTCCTATTATTAGTCTGTCTACATCTCTAAACCTCAAAATACTCTGGTGCACCTTTTGATGTCATGAAGAGGTAGTTTTCAAGTTAACAGCTCCTTTTACCTTTACTTCAGCAGAGATTGGCAGTTCCGGGTCTGAAATCATGCAAAAGATTCTAGCGAAGGTGTATGGAGTTTAAAAACACAGTGGAGCACTTCCCGTATTTCCACATGACATCACAAGGTGGAACAGAGTGTTTCCTTTTTGAGAGAAGAACTCACCCTGAATACGCAGGGTTTGTGTGTTAAACATGTGTGAATGAAAGAAAACAAAACTCCAAGTCTGTCTGTGATGAGGAAACAAGATTGTAACATAGATCAGATAAAAGCGTAATACGGGCTCTCAGAAGTATTTTTTTAACTTTAGATCTGATACACTTACACTCACAAAATGTTAAATGCAAAAAAAAAAAAAAAAAAAAAAAAAAGAACTGAAAATGACTTGCCTGTTTGCGTCTGTGCAGTTCCACTTTTGCGACAGTAGAGGGCGAGCTTTACACCTGCACTTTGGGGGATTTTTTGGAGCAGGTCTGAACTTGTCCTGACTTGTACAGAGGGAAGTCATTACTTACACAGGCATAACTCAGCACAATGACAGAACACTTAGTTTTACTGCGGGCCGTAGAAATAAGTGGCACTTTTCAGACCTCTATGGATGACACAGAAATCACTCTCTAACAACAGTGATTCACCTGCTGCTGACTCAGGCTTTTCTCTCAGACTAAATATCATTAATAAAACATTACACATTTGTATTGATATAGCCACAGTCAGCAACTTATTCTTATCTGAAAATGTCCTATCTCATATCAAACTTAGTACGCAAAATTCACCCTCATGAGATTTAAGCCGTGTTATAACATTGTTCTCTCATCAAAAACAGACCTGGAGTTGTGTTTGGAGTTTGTTTCATTCACACATGTTTAAGTAATCCCTTATTATTAGTCAGTCTACATCACCAAAGCTCAAAATCCCCTGTTCCACCTTGTGATGTCATGAAGCTACAGTTAACAGCTACATTTTACTTTTAGTTCAGTAGAGATCGGCAATTCCAGGGCTGAAATTATCCACATGATTCTAATGAAAGCGTATGGAGTTTAAAAACACAGTGGAGTGCGCACAGTGTGTTTAGTTTGAGAGAAGAACGCAGTCTGAATATGCAGGATTTGCGTGTTAAACTTGTGTGAGTGAATCAAATCACAACTCCAGGTCTGTTTTTGATGAGGTAACAATATTGTAACACGGTGTAAAGCTCATGAGAGTGAATCTTGCGTAATATAGGACCTTTAAAAGTTTTATATGAGAGTGAACATTTTCAGATAAGAATAAGATGATGACCGTGGCTATGTCAATACATGTATGTTTGTGATGAGGAAACAGAATTAAAACAAGATCAGAAATTAGCACATTATGGGGCCTTTAACAGCTTTTTTTTTTTACATTACTATGTCATGTTTTCTTGTTTTATGATGTATATCACTTTTCTCATAGGGGTTCTTCCACCTTCTTGTTTTTGAGATGTGATTGCTTTGCCTAGAATGTTCCACGGTATGGCATCAGAGCAGAGGTAGCTCTCCACTCCCTTCCTAGTAGCTCACCAATAAATTTCTGATTCATGTATTGTCCTGAATAAGTCAAATTTGATTAATTAAATGCCTAATACCATTAGTATATGTATCATTTTGATGCCTAACTTTGTACATGTCGTTTTATATGTATGTAAGAGCAATTCATTTAAGGCTCGCTGTGGCTCTTAAATATAGTTTAGTTTAGTTTAGTTTATTTATTTAATGAGACAGGGACAGTACACAATCTACATTAACCTTAACAGGAGAGATGTGTTGTACCAGGTTATTGCGCCAGTGCTCATTTCCACCTGTCGTCCCTGGGCAGGTTGATGTTCTAGTATGGAAGATAATTTGTTTCATCAAATTTTAAATTTTAAATACTGTTGAATTTCTCACTTTGAAATTTTTTACTCTGAAAAAATATGTTTGAATTATGTTTATTATGATTTTTTGTTTGCTGAAATTTTAAGTGTATATTTTCAGTGTATGAAATTGAATATAAAAAAATCACCTTTTAAATATTCAGTGCAAATATTTCCAAGCTTTCAAATTCAACAGTCAAAATTCAGAGTGTAAAATTTCGCAGTGAAGAAAATTCACAGTAAAGATCCGAGATGCCAAGGCAGAAGCAATCGATCCAAAGTGATCCGATCTAACTTAGTAAGAAAGAGGAGATGTTGCAGTGACGCGATCTGATCAGTCAAAATTAGCCTCATTGAAACCTCATCTCTTTGATTTCTTAAGTGTAAACCCCGCCCACAGATGAGAACAGCCAATAGGAAACAGCCTCTGTCCTCCTCGCTCACATGATCGATTGCTTCTGCCTTGGCATCTTGGATTTTTGCTGTGAAAATTTTCACTGCGAATTTTACATTCTGAATTTCGACTGGTGAATTTGAGGGCTTGAAAATATCTGTGGTGATTTTTTTGTTTATTTTGAATTGAAAGTAAACTTCAAATTTCAGCCACTAAAATTCAGAATAAAAATAATTCAAACATCAGAGTAAAAAAATTCGAAGTGAGAAATTCAGTCGTATTTAAAATTCAAAATCGGATGGAACAATTTATCTTCCATATTCTAGTTCACAAAATCAAACATACAAAGAGAATGTCTTTATAATGTGATCATCAGTCATCATCAATCACTCCCAGTTCTCTCAGGATCTTAAAAACATCATCCTTATCAAAAGCAACATTCAGTTCATTCACTCCAGAGCATCACTCTCTCTTCACTCATCAGTCCACACTATGGGCGCAGGTTTGGTTTGAGAGGAGCCACTGTTTCTCCAGGCATGAAAATGTGCCATAGTTTGTACATGTGATCAGCTCTGTTGGTAACACACATGAAAAGGCTGAGTCTCCAAATGCTGTCCTGCGTTTGGGGATCCTACACTCGCTGCGCACAGTGGATTGATGTGGTTTCAGAGCTCAGAGAAACAAACCGTTTTAGAGGAGGAACAGCAGTACCACGAATGATCTTAAACAGCAGACAAACATTTGCTTACATTATCACATTTTCAAAACTTAAAATACTATGTTTCACAAGAATATGACAATGATGGAAGAGATGACTTTTCTTGTCATGGGTCTTGAGAGCACTTTTATATATAACGATTGTAGAGGCCTCAGAGCTGATTTACAAGCCTGTGACCAACTTGTTATGCAATAAATAAAGTGTGGCATTACCATTGCAATTTCTTGTGACTGCTAAAATTAGTAGATCTCTGGCATTTTCGTTTTGTAAATGTAGCTCACTGGAGACCCGTGCATTAGAGGGACCAGATTACGTTATTTTTTGACCTACTGTATGTAATAATGTTTCTTCATCAGACATACCTGGAGTTGTGTTTTGTGTCATTCGCCCATGTTTAAAACACAAACATTGCATATTTAGGCTGAGTTCTTTTCTCAAACAGAAAATACTCCCATTTTGTGATGTCACTGTGTTTTTAATTTTCATACACCTTCACTAGAATCATTTGGATGATTTCAACCCCAGTACTTGTCAATCTCTGTTAAACTAAAGGGTAAAATGTAGCTGTTAACTTGAAAACTACTGCTTCATGACATCACAAGGTGGACCAGAGCATTTTGAGCTTTGGAGATGCAGCAACAAACACGTGAATGAAACAAAACACAACTCCAGGTATGTTTTTGAGAAGATTACAATATTCTAACATGGTTTAAAGCTCACAAGACTCACTTTTGTGTAATACAGGACCTTTAAACTGGCCAGGTAACGCCACTAGGCCAAGTTACAAGTCAGAACTGTGCAGAGGCGAGCCCACTTAAGATCAGGAAATTTCACCTCTGTAACTTTTTAATTCCAATTATTTTTTAATTTAGTATTTAATTTGATTGCCTTTTCTCTTGCCTCAAAGCCACATTGGTCATTTTACTTTGAAAAAACAAATTGTTGCAAAAGTTGAAGACAAGTTAATCCTGAAATGCCAGCACTTTCAGAACAACTAGAATGTCCAAGATTTCTTAGAAAGTTCTGTTTTCCTCGAATATATTTAATAATTAATATTAAACCAACATTGGAAAATTGTTGCACTTTCATCTGCATAGGCCATCTGTTTTTGAATACCTGGAGTTTGTCTTTCCGGGAGGCCGTGTCACATTCCTCTCGCTTTCAGACAGGCAGCGTGACCTCTCACCCCAGGAAGTAAATAATGTGCTTTTGACATCTCTGCCACAGCACAGCACAGTCACCGTCTCGTCTGAATCCGACTCAAAGTGGAAGCTGTGAGTAATGACTGGAATGTGTAGACTGTCTCCAATCATCAATCTAAATAAAAT